GTGGCTGGCACCAGACATCCAGTTAAGCATGCAACACTCTTCTGTGTTGGCAGCCTGTGCTGCTGTGCCAAGGAAGTCCCTGGGTTTATCTAAGTCATAATTACCAAAGCTGTGACAGGCCATACTTGGCAATGAAAAAACTCCTTTGGGAAATATCTCCAAACTTCTCTTTGCCTTGTTGCTATTTGTCAAGTATCTGGAAAGTCATTGAATGCCTTCTGCAGTGGCTTTCTTGGAACTTCAGGCAGATGTGGCTAACCAGTTTTATGCTGGTTAGTTCTGGCTGCTCAGTGTAACCTCATGTAGGGCTTGGACATCACACATGTTCCTGTGGTGCAATACCAGCATCTCAGTGTGCTCCTTCAGAAATAGGTTAGACTTCTTGTACTGCATGAATAGAAATGCATTCTGAAGTTATTACCTGGGCATGAAATAAACAATCTGCATAATTTTGCAATAATGAAAGAACTTAAATATATTTAAATAGAGTATGGTTTCCTTTGTGTATGGATGAAATGTGAATAGTGAAAAGTCTGGCAGTATGTTAAATAGGGTGTTGATTTGATTTCTTTTCTTCGTTCATTCCTGACTACCAATTAAACTGTGCTTATTAGAGGGGCAAAAAGGGAAGGAGGGCTAGTAAGATATAGTTATTATAAGTACATTCAACTTTGACATGAGGCAAACCTTCAGAAGAAAATAACATACTTGTCCAATGTTTTTTTTTTCTTCTCCTGATTGTTGTTTTAAAGTCTATATGCAAAGTGCTTTGCAGCTTTAATACCACTCAGACTGATTGTTCCTTTTCTGGCAAGAAGACCTTTTGTTTAGGAATCAAGTGGCAATCGTAAACTTAGTTTTTGTTGAGTTTTGCTCCTTCAATCCGAAGTTCTGTGCTCAAGAGAAAAGTACAGACTCATAAATGAGTATTTTTTTTTTTTAAGTTCAATTAGTTTAAATCAGGCCGAGATGTTCCATCAGTAGCTTGCAAGTAGGGCCAGGCAGGGCATTTAATGAGGTCTGATTGTGCTAGGCAGAAGGTGGTTGGGATCAGGCTGCTCCAACAAGACCTATTCATCTCCTCTGCCCAGTTTCCTTTCCTGTGGAAAGGAAATAGAGGGCAGGAGGCACACAGAATATCTGGCAGCTCTTGGCCAAGCCAAGGGCACAACTTGCCTATGTGAGGTGATGGGGGCTGTGAAGTGTGTTGGCTTTCAGGCCAGCACTTCAGGAAGCCTCAGACCTGCTGTGTGTGAGTAGCAGGTCTGTCCTTTGTCCCAGGAGAGAGGCCTCATGTGATTGCCTCTTGCCACTGGAAAAGGATGGGTGATAATTGTTTTCAGAACTGTCACTGTTTTTATTCAAATTTGCCTTCTGCAATTCCTTGGTCTAGATTGCTGTGGGATTTTTGCACACTCATATGCTATTACTGTCATATCCTGTTACTTGTGTGACATTTTTATATAACTTGGAGGACACTTGAGGTGAGTCAAGGGGTAGTGTTAATCACTAAAAAAAGGCTGTGTCTGTCAGCCTGGTTGTCTGTCCTGGAAGATCCCAGGTGATCTGAAGAGCACAGCCCTGGGGAGGGCAGGGCCAGTGAGAATTTCTGCCTTTTGTGTCATGGGAGCCTGTTGGGATGGGAGGCTCTGGGCATTCCAAAGCTGCTTTGGCCTGTGCTGATCATAGCCCTGGGACACCTGTAGGTAACCACTGCAGCTCTGACCAGGAGTAACCAAAGAGCCCAAAAAGGACTGGCACTTCCTTTGTCACCTTCATTTACTGCCTGGTGCTCATTTCTCTTCCATGGCTGTCTTCCATTCCCACTGCTCTGCACCCTGTGATATGGTTTTCACTGCTTTGTGTAAATGTTTGCTCACACTGCTGCACTTTCTTGATAACTGCTTGGACCTAAAGAATGCTGAGTTGTGCTACTCCTTACCAGCCTGCAGTGCTGAGCCTTCATTACTGGAAGATACTTGTGCTGTGCATAGTATGATATGGATTTTTAAATATATGTATGTATATACTTGTTCCTTCTGGAAAGACTGATTTGTTTATTCATTTATTATTTTTTTACTTAAGCATCCTTCCTTTTATAAGGGCTCTGCCTGATGATTTTCATTCTGCACCTCTAATTCTGTTCTCTTATTGACATATGGGATCCTCTTGTTTTAATTAATCTGACAAAAGGAAAGAGTTATGTTAAGTATTCAAGTATTTTTTAATTTATTTTTTTTAAAGTAATATATGGCATAGTTAAACTCAATTAGCCATTTCATCTACCTTGGTTATGCAGTAGTTCTTTAAAAAATTGTAAATTGTGGCTGTAGTTGTTTTAGAATAGCAGAAAAGAAGATGGAATAGTTATCAAGCAAGGCAGTTCTATAGAATGTCATTACATTTAAACCTATAGGTAGTTTTCAGAAGGGTTTTGGGGTGTACCATAATGAAAACTGTCATTTAAAAAGTAGTCACTGAATACATAATACTGCTTTAAAAAAATTGTCCTGATTTTTTTCAGCTATTTTTGTTGGACAATCCTGTTTCAAAAACCATTAATATGAATTGTAATGTGGTAACGTTTCTACTTATTTTTAGGAGCATATGCAGGAAGAACCCAAAGAAAGAAGCCAAATGTTGTGATAATTTAAGAAGACAACATTCCCTGGGATAAAATGGCCATGTTTTAATGATGGCTTTGTCAGCACTGATTTTTAATATTGCATCTTCTTTACATAGATGTATATTTAGACATCTTAAACCTACTTTGTTATTTTCAGATGACACATAACACAATCATATTGAAGCTGCTTTGAAGCTCTAATGCTTGTGGGAAAATTGCATGTTAGAACTTGTGTACAGACTAGTATTAATATATAAAAGATTCATAATCTTGTTTATTTAAAGACTAGCACGGGGCAACATGAAGGTAATTTGTGACTTTTTCACACTTTCTAATTCTAGTGTCTGACATATGCTTTTTGCATTACTTAAATTGCAATTTCTGTGTGTGAGTGAGTGCCACCATAAGTAAGTCATGGGTATATATTTATTTTCATTCCATAAAGTTGAAGCAGCTAAATGTGAAAAAAAACCCCAAAGTTCATTTAAACAAAAGTGAGCTTTCAAGTCAGTGAATTTGTCAGCAGCAGTTCTGAATGTACTTTCTGTAGGAATGAGATTAGCTCAATTTCAGTACTAAAGGCCTTGTACCAAATGTTTTGCATTTCTGCTGAGCTGGACAGATGTGGTCCAAATTCACTGTTGGGCTGATGGACAAACTTTCACTGATCAAACCAAAAATGTGCATTTATATGTGTGGTAGATCAAACCATTGTACTGAAAGAGCCTTGGGTTTTTATTGCCCTGCTGTCTACTGCATTTTCTTATGGAAACATCATCTGTCCAGCATGGAGATGTGTATGTTTTACAAAAGCTTCAGAAGGTACAATTTTAACTGTTTTACCATTGCAGACTTAAATAGTTATTTCAGTCTGTAATAGTCATTCAGATATGTTACATTTAGTTGATGACAGTGGCAGTTTTTCTGAGCAGTTTATCTTGTGCTGTGTGACCTAACAGGCCCTTTGTACTGAAGTAATGATTTCTGCAGGTGGGGAATCCCTACCAATCCCAACACTTTCATATTTGTGAATATCTAACATTAAAAGATCATGGTCATATTCTACCTTAGTCTTCCAACTGATGGATATTATCCATCAACTGGAGTGGAGCATAATTCTCCACCTTCTTTTAATGAACTTGAGACATGATATTAACAAAGTTCTAGAGAGAAAAGCTCAGCTGTATAATCTTTGCAGTAGAGAACTGACTGCCAGAATGTAAATTAGGCTATATTTTGTTAATTTCCCAGTGTCAATACAATACAACACACTAAACTTTGGAGGCTTTGTAATGTGTTGACATGAATGTAAGAGAAGAAAGACCAACTGAAAATTTCATTGTGGTAAATAGCATGAAAGAGGAACATTAATAATGGGATGAGGACACTTATTTAATGGGCAGTGATGAGTGGATTGGCACCAGCCTGTGGCTTTCGTCTGCCACCAAGTCTGTCCTCTGCAGCTCGTGATGCTGTTCAGAACAGCTGTGTCATACCAGGCACTAAGTTACCAAACTGCGTGCTTGCAAAATGGCAGAAACTGCCCCAGCACCTTGAGGAATGACGCTGCTCGTTGGTTTGAGAGCCCGGGGCCGGTGTAAACAGGAGGCTTTACGCCAGTGGAATAGCTGCCTCCTTCATACAAATGCTCTGGTGCTTTAAAGTCACAGTTGTACGGAAAATGCCCGAGGCAAGTTTCCTGCTCACCCGGTGGGCAACAAAGCTGTGTTTTAGTTCCCAGCTCTCCTTAGGAGTGGGAAACATCTCAAGAGGGGAGGAATTGACAGTGACAAGAGTAACCTGTGTCACAGATGACAGAAGGTGCTGTTGATATGGCAGCACTGAAGATTGATGCTTTTAATGGATGTTTTATGTGCTGTATTTATTATTAGCATAGGCAATATGTTGATGCACAGATAGGTTTAGTGTGTTAGTAGAAATGAATGTTTCCCTTCTCTTAGGGTTTCACATCTAAACCTCTTGTTCTTCAAGCATGTTTCCAGTGTGTAATAAAGCATTATAGCACAAGGGTCTTTTTTTGCCTTTTTTTTTTTTTTTTTAACTTTCATGAGGCCTTTCTCTTGGCAAGTGCCAGAATTTGGTTTTGTACTTGCTGTTTTGTATTTATACATATTTATCTTTTTATTTTGTGTGGAATTGTGATACCATTACAGAAGTCTATTTATTTTTGTACTTTGTTTCATTTTCACCAGTCTCGCTTTTTACTTAACGCATTCTGCACAATAAACTCTGAATTTTGAACATTAAACGCCCTTTTTCTGTGCCGTTTCTTCGCCCGCCCTCAGGCGGTTCCCGCGCTCCGGGCGGGGCGGAGCTGCCGCCGGAAGCTGCGGCCGGCGCGCGCTGTCATGTGACCGGGCGCAAGATGGCCGCGTTCCCCTGGTGAGGCGGCGGGGCCCCGGGAGCTGCCTGTTCCCCGGGAGGGCGGGCTCGGGGCTGGGTGAGGGCTGCCGTCGTGCTCGGCGACCCTCGCAGCCGGGGGGCTAAGGCGGGGGCGGCCGCGGATGTGCCAGAGGGGAAAGTGCGGGGCCTGTCCGCCCGCGGGGCTCGGGGCAGTTCGGCCGGGGGGGAGCGGGGCAGGCGGGGCGCTGCGTGCCGAGGCTCCGCTGCCGTGGCACCTGAGCCCGGCGCTGCTGTCTGAGAGGCCGACGGTACAGATCACGTTCATGACACCCTGGCGTTACACGGAGCCAGGCGGGCACAGCTCTGCTGAGGGACGGAGCCGCAGCTCTGAGCCGGCTGGGGCGCCACGGCCGCTGGATTCCCGTTATTTCCCCTAAAATCAGCAGGAATTCCTCGAGCCCCGCTGGTTTTCTGCGGGGTGTTGTCACGGAGCGTGTGCTGCTCGGAGCGGGGCCGGAGCACTGACTGCGGGCGGGGTCGGTGCGGGCCGCGGCGCCGGGGAGCTGAGGGCTCTGCTGTGTGCTGAGGGCTCTGCTCTGAGCTAAAGGCTCAGCGCCTTTAGCCAATGCTGTCTTTCACAGGCTCTTTAGACACGGCTACAGGCACAGTCAGCTTCTAGCGACGCGCGTTTACAGGAAAACTGTACATCTGTGGAAGCTGCGCTGCGCACAACAGGGAATTAGTCTAGCATTTGGTAAAGGAAGGATAAAAGAGGCACTCTTTCTGTTACAGACAAAAGCAGTAGCAAAATAGAGCGGAACAAAGCAGAGCAGCAGAGACCCTGAAAAACTGATTTTTACATAGTACAGCAGTGAGGTAACAGTCTAATAAATAGGTCTAGTAACACTGATAGTGGCCATGGGGAAATAACCAGACTTTTACCAGAGTAAGATGTTTCCATCATGCTGTTATCTAATACAGAACATGTTTTCATGCTGTGGGGCTTAGCAGAAGCATAGCTATTTTTAAGCAGTATTAATGCTAAAAAGCTGTTTTGCAGATTTGTTGTCTGCACAGTCATCAGTCTGCATATGAGGAAAAAAATAGCACCTGTTGGTGCTGAATAGTGGTATTAACATAATATTCAAATTAAGCAAATTTTAAAAATTTCAACACATTTGTTAAAGTAATAAAAAGTATATAAAATAATTTAAAGTGCAGGGCTGCAATGCAATTTTATAATAGCAATGCATAAATATCTAGAGAAATTGTTTTGTTTTTATTTCTGATACTCAGATAATGATAGGTACAGTTAGTTTGGGATGTGCTTCATTTATTACCAATACCAATATATGTCTAGTGTTGTAAAGGGATTCTTTTCCATTTTGTGTGCCTGATTCCTTTGTGCTCCCTGTGAGCTTTTTGAAACACTTGCTTTAGGATAAGCACTGGCTCTGGGAGGGGGCTGTGTGCCTGAAAGCAGTCCCAGGGAAAAAGATGTTTTACCAGGAGGAGAGAAAAACGTTTGTGGGCTGGCAGATGTTGAAGGTGCAGAGCGGTGGCAATTGCAGTGGTGCTCATGTGTGGGAAAGGTTGAAACCCACTGTTAAAAGAGCAGCTGAAGCAGGGGTGTAGTCCTGCAGGATGCACAGAGGATGAAACCCCAGCTTGGCCAGAGTCTTATTTTTATTTCCTTTCAAAAGTTGGCTGCACTGCTGTGGCCAAGAAAGGAATGCTTAATCTCCTTTCCCTGGAGAGTAAGCCGGACATAATGCCAGAGCAAACTTGATCTTGTCTTCTGTATTGGCTCTCTTACAAGCTGTCTTATCACTTGAATAGTCACATTGTAAAAAATGTACTTTTAAAAGACTTATTTGCAGGGTTTGCAGCTCTTGTTCACTCCCACGTTTGTATTATTACCATGTGCACTTGCCCAGTGTGCTCACACTAATTGGAATGCAGCTGATTTTGGCCTGAGTGTGCTGCGAGAGCTCTCAGCAGTTAAAGAAATGTTATAATTGTGTAGCCAGAAAGAGTTTGGAAGATTTTTCCACCCAGATGCTGATTAACCCATGATGCAAACGAGCAAGAAGAGTCATTGAACAATGGGACAATACAAAAAGAAAAGGAACTGGAGATCAAGAAAACAAAGAAGCATGTAGATTTTACTGGACTCTTTCTCTTGCTCTGCTGTATCTCATTAAATGTCAAAAGTTTCTTGTCAGAGTGGCACAACCATAAATTGTCTAATTGTAATTCTAATCTGATACGATATCTGTAGGAGAGCTGCTTAGCACTGCTGAAAATCATCCAAATGAGTTATGTCTTTGAATAAGAATGGAATTATTTGGAAGCTTGGATTAATTCTAGTGGGAAAGATGTGTGTTATGTAGGAGAAGTGCTGTTTGCTTTTGTTAGGAGTGTGATCAAAGAATTTTTTGTGTATCCCCTGATTTTCCTCATTCAGCTGAGGCAGTAGGGTGTGCTGTAAACGTTCTCAGGATTTTGAATGAAACAGAAAAGAACAGTTAGCAGCTCTGTGTTTTTCAAAGACTTAAAAAGAGTACAACTAAATGGCTGAAAGTAAAATTTCTCCAGTTTTAGTTTTATGTTATCTCAGTAGAAAGAAATTTTGATCCTTATGTTTGTTTATTTTTCCGCATGTTTTTTGGTTTTTTTTGTAAATAAGCATCTGTATAGATATAAGATATGCTTCTCTCTTAGTGTGTGGTTATTTATATGCGTATATACTTTCCCTTCACTCTTACTTTTTAAGGCATGCAAGATCAAGGAACTATGTGTCAGAATCTGAAGTGTGCAAGCTGGAATCTGTACCCTTGGATTTTGGTGATTACCATCCACTGAAACCCATTACAGTGAGTTTGTTTGTGCTTTTGGAAAATCAATCTGAATTCAGACTGTGTTCCTCTTTTTACATCTGTTCCATTAAAATTAAAAGGCTTTGAGAATGTTGGTGGTACTTGTGAAGTTGCTTTCTGTGTTAGTGGCCTGCTTTAAAGGCATCAAGGTTTATTCTGTTTGCTCTTCACAGAAGTTTGCTGGTGCTGTTATGTGTCAGAAACAGTCTCTTGACAAATACAGCACCTCCAGCTTGTAGGTTTTCTTGGTTGCATTAAATGCTGAATAATGGATAAATTTAAAATCAAATTGTCACATTACAAATGGCCTGCATAATTGCTTGATATAAGGTTTGGATTTGGGTTAGCTTCCAGTCAGCTGTGTACTTTAAAACATTTATAATTTCTTTGATGTGTAAGAGGCTTTTAAAGATGTACAGAAAAAAAATCAGCTTCAAAGAGATGAGTTATCCACTAATGAATGATAAATGGGCAGCAGCTTCTGCTCAGGAAGGTCAGTAGGGAGAGAAGATGCTGGCCTGAGGTATGGATTTTATGTTCCAGGCTTGAGTGTTGTACAGGAAAAGTAAAGATGAAACTGGCAGAGGAAATTAAATAGCAAGAAAGAGTTAGGAGGACAGGGACAAACCTAATAAAATAGAGGAGGGGTACTAGAAAGATATTCAGAGTGGTTGTTCGTACAACTTTGTGGACCTAGAATTGGAAGGAAAAAAGAAAGCAGTGGAAATTCTACTGAAGAGTGAGTGCCTCCACGTTCAGGGAAAAGGGGGGGGAAGAAAAAGAATTAGAGAAAAATGAGGGAAGAGAAAGCCTTTTTGTTTAATAGTTCTGAATTTTTCTTTAGGTTACTGAATCCAAGACGAAGAAGATGAACAGGAAGGGAAGTACTTCTTCCACCTCCTCCTCTTCCTCCAGTTCCGTGATGGACCCGCTGAGCAGTGTGTTGGATGGCACAGACCCCCTGTCGTTGTTTGCAGCAGCTGCAGATCCTGTGACTGCTGCTCCTCCCACGGTAACTCTGAGGGCTGCTAGCTCATCTAAGTAAAGGAAAACCAAAACAGAACCGTAAAGCCAACCCTGGATAAAATGTATTGTCTCACTGAAGAGGTTAATATAGGAAATATACCTACTTCTTTTTTATTTACCTACTTTTATCTGGTTTATGTTGACATATTTATTTAAATATAGAATTTTGTTTAATATTGTAACTTTTGAAAGGATCAGCTAGCACTTGAAACATTGTTGACCTTCGTGTTGACAGCCTTCTCTTCTTTTTGCAGATCTGTATTTAACTTTTGCACTTGTACTCTTGTAACAGGATGGTGCCCGAAGGAAACGGGATAAAGATGAGAGCTCAGCAGTGGGAAGTGACTTTGAACCATGGTCAAGCAAACGTGGTGAAATCCTTGCTAGATACACAACAACAGAGAAGCTTTCTATTGTAAGTGGTGGCTGCCACAATTGTTTTGATTTGTACTAGACCTTTAATGCATTTTGGATATTACTGTTTTATAATCATTTAATGGGTGAATACTGGTCTAAATTTCAGTTTTCATGTTGTAGAAAACTGAATCACAAGCTCTCACTTGCAAAGATTATTTTAGAGCTGAATCCAAGTCTTCTGATATTTAGAAGCCATCACTTTGTCTTTTTGTAACAATGCAAATAACTTCTAGTGTTGCATCTACTTCTAAATGATTAGAGGGTTGATTAGCAGTGTAATTACCCTGGGCATTCTTGGAATGCTAGTGAGTCCATGTTTTCTAACAGTCTGCTTTTTCTGCTTCCTCACAGAATCTGTACATGGGATCTGAAAAAGGTGAGCACTTTCTTTACCAGTAACAGAGGTTGCTTGAGGCAGGGTGCAGTGACAGGTTTGTGGTCAAGAATAGTTGAAATGTATTTTCCTGCCTCCTCCATTCTGACATCATGGTTCTTTCTTTTTTGTGGATAAGAAGTCTGGATGTTTGTTTAGAATAGTTATTGAAAACAAGCCACCTGACCACCTTGTCTTTTATTCCTATGGGCTGATGAATTTGTGATTATGTCTTCCATAGCTTAAAACTTTTTTCCATTTAAACTGAGCAATGATGTTTTGAGGATCATGTTTATCAACTCTTCTGCTAGCTGGAAGGAAAGCAAACAAGTCCTTTGGGAACTTGTTCAGTTATTCTCTTTACATGAAAGTGAAGTGATTTCAGCTGTATGCTGGGTGTTTAAAAAAGAACCAAGTGTTAAATATTTTATCATGTTTTCTAGCAAAGAGAATCTGGGCTAGGTAATCATAGCATAGTAAATCAGGATTTTTCTATATGAATAAACACGCAGCATTTCAGCATCTGCAAAAATAGAAAGCACTTTTTTGCAGTGAGAATGGTCAAACTGAAATTGGATGTTCTGGCAGAGTGTGACCTCTATATCCTTAGATATTGTTAAATTGACTGGATATAACCCTGTGCAACTGTTAAAACTTCAGAACTGGACCTGCTTTGAGGAGGAGAGTTGGACACAGACCTCCATAGAGCTTTTCTGTCCTTAATTATCCTATGGTTCTATCTGGTGATTCTTTTCTTACTGGTAAAAATTGCAGAAAAATCCACTCATATTCAATTCTGCTTACTCATTGCCCCTTTCAAAGTGAATGCACTGTAGGTGTGTTTAGATGTGTGTCTTCAGGAATAGTCACTAAAGGAATCAAACCACCTGTCTTCTGTCTCCAAAGCTGACTGGTCCATGTCAGACTCCTTCAGGTTTGTTTCTCTTTAGAAGTCCCAGTGTTCAAATGTTAAAGAAACTTAAGTCTGTAATTCTTTGCAGGAAAAGCCACAACTACTGGTTCAGCAGTTTCTGAAAAAGTGAGGACAAGGTTAGAAGAACTGGATGATCTGGAAGAGGTGAGAAAGTTTTCTGATGAAATTATGGCATCATTATAACAGTGAAAGGAATTTGTGAAATAAAAATCTTTTGTGAAAGCTTTTAAAAAGGTCCTGATTCTGCAAGTGCAGTATTTAGATAAATACGTACTTTCTGTGGGAATTCTCCAGTAATTAATGCTTATTGTTACAGGATTTGGGCAGAGTCATATTTTTGTATCACTAGAATTGTGATTTGAAAATTTACCTGATCTGTTGCTGTTGATTTATCTTCTTAGTGCTGTAAAACTTTATGGAGCCCCCTAGTCTTGACATCTGATAATTCTGGTTGCCCCTGTTGCCAAAGCTGCAAATGTCTACCTGAGTTTAATTTAAGTTACAATTATGAGCTTGATAGAAATACTGAGCACTGAAGTTATTTCTCAAGCTGCAGTATTTTACTGTGCAAGGGTGAGTTGTTTTATAACCTACTTTCCTAAGACCTGAAGGGAAATGGTAATAAATTTTGTAGGAGTCTCCTCCACAACATGGTGATTTGAGTCTATAATAACAGCACTTTCCTTCCTTCCCTCCTGCTCTTATTACGAGGGTTTTTGTTTTCTTGCCAGGGATCACAGAAAGAGCTGTTGAATTTGACTCAGCAGGATTACATGAACAGAATTGAAGAGCTGAACCAGTCTTTAAAGGATGCATGGTCCTCTGATCAGAAAGTAAAAGCTCTGAAAATAGTCATCCAGGTCAGTTTTATGGTTTTGTTCTATGCAGAACCAGTGAGTTCGGTGATACAACTTGTCCAGTTTCCTTCTTGGGAAAAGAAGGCTTTCTACTGTTTTTCTATTATTTTCTTTTGTTCTCTGAAACACATTTCTTCCAGAGTTTTATGACTTCTGACAGATTTTCAGCTTTGTTGTTACATATTGGTTTTGACTAGGTCATGTGGGTTGGAATTCTCAATAGTCACCAAATGACAGATGTGGAAATTTTACCTGCTTAAGGGTAGTTAGAACAAATAGCATGTAGTGATAATCAGCTCTTTATAGGACATGTAATTTCCTTTCCTGTCCTCTTCTGCTTCAGCCTCTTGCTCCCTACAAATGATACCAGATGGCTTTTTGAACATCAGCATTTTACCCATCAAAACTTAGTAGGGCAATTAAATAAAGGGATTTAGGACCTTAGCAAGCTACCAAAAACAGCCCCAGATTTTTAAAATTGTGTGTATGGGGTTTGTTTTTGTTTGTTGAGAACTTGTCCGTGGTCTTCCTTTGGGTCATTTGGGGCAATGTGCTTTGAGGAGGGCATGGGGAAATAGGACAGTTAAATGCTCTTTTGTTTGGCTTGGCCTTTAAAAAAAGCCAGAGGCAGAGTGCAGCAGAGGACAGATGAGATAATGACAGCCTTAAAAGCTGTAAAACTGATGTAATGCTCATAGTCATCCAGTGGGGTTATATAAAGTCAGGATTTTTTGGTCATTCTGGATACTCTTGTGAAAACTGCTTGAAGTAATTTTATCTTAAATTGTGGTAAAGACAAAAAAGGAAATGAAACATTAATGAAGTGAGATCAAACAATTATATGTGACCTAGGGTGACTAATGTACTATTGTAATACTATGAAATCAGCACTATTATTGTATTTAAAAAAAAAAAATCCATATATAGGATTGTGAAGTGTGACTATGGTCTTTGGATGAGAAGAAAAGCAGCAGGGATGTATTGTACTTAGAGTGCTTTGTGTGAAATATATTATATATATATATATATGTGTGTGTGTGATAATGCAGTGATAATCTATGCATTGATACTTCCATATGTTCTTTTGCAACTGGTTCACAAACAATTTTGAAATAATACAATTTCTAACAGGGGATCCAATGCTTCCTTTTAGGAAAGTGGTACCAAAGCTGAATGTGTTTATCTCTGCTCAAGTGTTGTTCACATAGCACTTAATGCTGCAGATGCTCATCACTAATTGAAAGACTGCCTAAGAATGAAATAGGTGCTTGTGTAATTAATGAATTTAAAATTTTCATGAAGGATAAAATAAAGCAGGATAGGGTAGAACCCTCACTGAACTTAACTTGTTGAACTTCTTCCTGCAGAGTGCTGTATCCTCTGAGAGAGCTGAGCAGTTCTCTTGGCATCAGGCTGTAGTTTTATACGTAGTCTGTCATTATTATTACAGACTGGTTACTATGCAGTAGGAGGAGTTTGGCTTCTGGTTAGTAAAATTTCTACACCAAAAAGGTTTTCAATCACTGGACCAGTCTGCCCAGGGCAGTGGTGGCATCACCCTCCTTGGAGGTATTTAAAGGATGTGTAGATGTGGCACTTGGGATATTTTTTATTGGTGATCTTGGTAGGGATGGTTTAAAGGTTAGACTCAACAGTCTTGAAGGTCTTTTCCAACCTAAGCAATTCTATGATTCTGTGATTTCCCAAGTGGCTTTTTGCAAGATACTTTACTTGTCAAGATGGAGTATGCTAAGCTACTTAGAATAAGCTGAACTAATATGATTGTGTGTGAGCTCTAAGAAAAGTGGTACTCAAGTGTTTATGCTGTGTGTAGGCCCTAAACAGCTACTGAGTTACCTTCCTTTGAAGGTGACTGACCACACAGCAGGCAAGATTCTGCTTTGGTTGTAGGATGTAAATGCTCTCACCTGTCTTTCTGGTGCACTCTTCAAATTACCCTGATGAATAAAGCAAAAAGACTAAGTGTGCCACTTGTTTAAGCATGTTCAAATGTTGTGATTTCCTTTTTTAAATAGAGCAGTCTTGTGAGATGTTTGATTCCTTCCTGGATTTTTTAAATGTAACAAAAGTTTAAACTTTATTTATTCCACTGAGATTGAAGAACTGTCTTCTGGTAAAGGAGAGAGAAAGGATGGAGCTCATAGAAAATATTGTCAGTCTTAGGGCCAGAGGGTACATTTGGCTTAAGCAAGGAAGAGGTGGATTTCTCTCCCCAGTCAGTCATTCACCTGTCTTCTTTTGGTAGAGGCTGGTTTGTTTTTTTTTTTGTTTTTTTTTGGTTTTTTTTTTTTTGTTTTTTTTTTTTTTTTTTGTGAGTAACCTTCTTCCAAAGTTTTTGACTCCGGTTTAATCTTGGACACCAAAGTATAGCTTAATTAAGTATGTTAGAAATGTCTTCATTGCTCAGTGTGTATTTTGGATTCATACAATCAATGGATATGGTCCTTCCTGGCCTGAACACCCAATGAGAGTAGTACTAAGTGGGTAATACATTTTCAAATGTGACTGTGTTCCAGCCATCACTGCAGCCAAATGCCATGATCAGGTTGTGTCCCAGTGGGTGGTGATTGATTACAGAGTCCTCCCTGGAGCTGACTGTGGCTCAGTCTGTTTCCAGAAAGTTTGAACTAGTTATGTGAGCTGCAAGAATGCATTGGAAAGCTCATTAACTACACTTTTAAAATTGTTTCTTAATGTAATCTATATTACATTTTCTGTTTGATATGGATGCTTAGAGAGATGGTGAAAAAGTGAACAGTGTCCTTAAAAAAACTGATTTTAGAGAAGAAGTGCTTTTTAATGCTTTGTCGGGAGAGAATTTGTCTTGTCTGAACAAAAGCACAGATCTTCAGGTCAGCTGAAACTCTGCATTGTAGATTACCCTGTAAAAGGGAAAACCAGGTCTGTGTAGCTCTGGAAATGAAGAATAACCTGAAAATTACAATAAGCACCATGATCTGTTATGTTAGATGTCCTTGTGCCTTTGGCTTCATAGTTCATGTTGGTCCTTTCCACCTGTGGATATTCATCCATTCCAGCTTTTCTGGAGTAAAAACATAAACTTGTGTTGGCCTCTAAAAATGTTTCTTTGTTTTTTTTTCTCCTTCTAGTGTTCTAAGCTTCTTTCAGACACAACAGTAATCCAGTTTTATCCAAGCAAATTTGTTTTAATTACAGATATCCTTGATACTTTTGGTAAGTATCTACTCTGCCAGTGTTACTACACAAACGTTAATAAGATTATTTTTTTGTAATGTTAGAAAGTATCAAATTATCAAAGTTATCCAAAAAGGCCTGAAATGACTTTTAGTTGTAACATGGAATATTTCCAGCATAAACATTTGGGCACTGGTGGTAAACATGGTATATAATTGTAAATAATCTCCTAAGAGCAAAGTCCTTAAGAGAAAAACATTTCATTTTGTGGTTCTGTGCTTTATGTATTAGTGAATATCTAGAACAAAATGTTAGGAAAAGTCATGATCTCTGCATTTTGAAATTAAAAACATGCTGTCATTATAAAAATATTTTGGATTTTAGCACCCTTTTGTCTCAATATTCAAAATTATTTTTGTATTTTGAAGAATAGAAGTCAGAAAGTTTTCTTTGGCTGAATAGGGACTATTAAATAATCAGAATGTAGTTATTGATTTTTTTAATATATTTTTTAATTTGTAAGTGAACTTGTCATCCACTTCATGTTGCTCTCTTATTTTTCTGCCATGTTATGAAAAATATTTACAATGGTTTTGAAAGTTGGAGTGTATTTTGGTGCCAGCAGGATATGCTACGACAGAGAACCAATTGTTCTTTCAGGTTGTGCTTCCTCTTTGTGCCCTTCCTACTTGCTGAAGGCTGCTAGAGATAACATAATATCCACACTCAGCAAAGTCAGGACAGCAGCTGTCCTTTCCTGGCCTGGGGGGAATCTGACCTGTGTGTTACCTCTGCACTTCAGGGAGCCAGAGATTGTTTTTGTAGTGTGAGAAGGGCTAAATCACACTGAACATTTCAGCCTCACTAGAGGGCAGCAAAATGTCAGTGTTCTAGGAAGTTTTTTCCACCTGATTTCATTGTATGTTGTGAAGGGAACTTTTGTACCAGCATTTTGTGTTTTACAGTTTGTTAATTTGTTTTGATTTTTTAAAAATTATTCTTTTTTTTTTTTTTAACCAGGCAAACTGGTGTATGAAAGAATTCTGTCAATGTGTGTGGATAACAGAGTCTCTCTGCCAGGTAACTTGTGTTTGTTTCTACTGTGCTCCAGAAAAAAATCATGTCCAGCCTTGAGGGAGGTTAAATAGGGGACCACTGCTACTCTATTTCCTATAGAAAAGGTTCTGATTTGAATCTAGTAGCTTTTAGTTTTTAACAGAGTAAAATCCATTGCTTGCAGCTTCCACTGTTTACAGTGTTCATGCAAAATTACATTTTTATTGTGAAGGCTATACCTAAGATATAGTAAAGTGTGCTGCTTGTGGCTCTGCTGTTACTAAATGTCAACTGGGTCTTCCTGAGACTTGGAATCACAAAGAATTGAGTAAGTTCTCTAATACAGAGTTTGTTAGGGGGAGAGAGAATTAAGCCAAATGAGATGAAGGAAGATTTTTTTTTCTCTTTTTTGTCTTAGCATCTGCTCTCTTCTGAAAGTACTACAGTTTAGTAGGCTTAAAGTTAATGGTAGAAATGTAGCAAAGCTGAGAGTCTCAGTTTTTGGTAAATAGATGTTTTTGTTGCTACACTGGAAGCTTGATAGTTTTGCTGTAATAAAAGAAGAATTTTGGCAGTAGCAGCAGGCTGCTTCTAGCATAATCTTTCTAACTTGGGCCCTTTTTCTTTTTTCAGTTGAAGTTCCAACACAATGTAAAAATCTAATTTGACATTGCAGGTGAAAGAACCTCTTTAGCAAGACATTGAAAGATTCTATGGAAAACACTTTCTGTGGAAAGGCATTTCCTTGCAATTTGGAGTGCATTAAATGCACATCCTTGCAAGACGAAACATTCTGTATTTGGCAGTGGAGCAGTACCATTAGTTTGCAGTTAAATCCATAAACCAGCAAATACTGAAATTTGAAATGAACCTAGAGAAAGTAGTTAAGATGAATGTGGTTGTTGCAGATCTGACCAACTGCCCTCACAAACATTCCTGAAGGCAGGCAGTTCCCCCAGCACGTCAGGATGTCTGGGCACAGTTACCTCTGTTCTGGGGAGCTGAGCTCCTGCTGCAGCTGTGCAGCTGCCAGAGGCATTGCTGCTGGGAACTTCCCAAGCAGCTCTGAAAGTGGGAGGGAGAAGGAAAATCTGTGCTGTGCTGACTGTGCCTGTGAACCTTTGGGGATTTCAGGCCCAGCCTCTGAGCTTGTCCCTTGGGAACCAAGTGAAACCAAGTTCAATGAGAACTCCTGACGTTCTAGATGAGAAAGATGCTGACTGAGTGCAGGAGGTTCTGACCATGTGGCTTCTCTTATGTTGGAAATTGGAAACTTTTTTGTGGAGCTTCTCACCTCCTGGAGGCAGTGGTGTTTTAATTGGTTTCAGAAGGAGTTTGTAAGAGGATGTGTTCAGGGTACAGACACAAGGTTTCTGTCCATATTAAGTATTTCCTACTTCTTGCAATAGTATTATTTAAAATTTATTTTAGCCTTTTAAAATAACTTTTAAAACTACTTGGGTGCTTAAATCTCTTTTGTATGCTCTCTAGTCATTATAGATTTGTATACACGTGTTTGTTATAGATTCTCTCTGTTTTCTTTTTTTCACAATTTCTGATTTTGGAAGAGGTGAGGCACAGCTTGGATTTGTCAGTAGCAGCTCTGAGATGAGCTCCAAGTACATGAATTCAGGTTCTGAAATGTTATTTACTACAAGATTGTTACCTTTTCTTGTTACGTTCTCAGCTCTGACTGCTGCTCAAGAGAGTTGAGAAGCAAATGTCTTGCCTAGTTTGTTGTTGTGCACCAATTTCTTGATGAATGGAAAGAGAATACAGTTTTAAACCTAACACGAAAAGTAACTTGTTTCCAGAAAGAATGTAACTATTTCTCGGTTGTTTTTTTCCCAGATAACTTTTCTCCAGAGAGTGTTAACGATACAGCTAAAGAAACTTGTTTAAACTGGTTTTTCAAGATTGCTTCAATCAGAGAACTCATTCCCAGATTGTATCCTTGTCAAAGGAGACCCTCACAGTGTGTCTGCAGGTTTTTTGTAGATTTTCCCAAAAGTGAATGTGTTTGTTTCAATAAAACCCACAGGATCTGCTGTTTATAATGGCTTTGTTTTGTTTGTTTCAGGCTGTATGTTTTGAATGTACTTTTGAGTCATGTTTCATAGTAAACTGAATGCTTAATTATTGGCTCTGAGCAGTTTGGCAGTGACAGAGATGATGCACGAAAAATTTTGAAACAGAATCTTGTGGATAAATTGTAAAAATCAGCAAAGTGTAGTGACATTAATTACAGAAGGCCTTAAAATAGTTTGGTCAATATCCATTTGGTATATGTTTGCTTATGGTTTTGCAGTGGTGTGAATCTTAGTTTTGTTCCTTAACTTGGCTTCAATGTAGTTACGTGGAAGCAGCAATACTGAAGTGCAATAAGTTCCTGTCCAAAACGTAAGAATAATGTTAATGGGAAGGAAGTGAATGGGCAAACTTAGGAACTAATTAAATGAATTAAGCACGAGAGGTCTGTGATTAGGGGTGGGTAGGGTCTTAGTAGAACTGAGAAGAAGCAGTACAGGGAGGTTTTGGAGTTTTTAATGAGAATACCATGAAAAAATTAAAGGTGAACTGTAATACACTTTGAAATATGGCAGTGCTCTCAGTTTTCAAACACAAATGTGACATCAGGTGTCCCAAATCCCAGTGCAAATTGAAAAGCAGTAGTACCTTCTGGGGATGGAGGGGAAGGAAGATTGTTGACATGAGGAGTGTGGGAAAAAGACAGGATAGAAAACTGAAAGGAAAATATTGATATCATACTGGGAGAGACAGAGGAGGAGAAATAATTTAGGAGCAATGAACCACTATCTGTTGAAAACTTTGGTATAAGTTTAATGTTTTGCCACACAGTGCCAGCTGCTGAGCAGAAAATGTTCCTTCTCTTGTAATTGTCCTTCTTCAGTTATATTTTGAAATGATGTTGGAAGCCAAATTGCTACTACAGTGACAACTTTATTATCCCTAAAAAGCAGTTCTTTTACTGGAATTAGTGGGCCTCATATTCAGTCTCTATCAAAAAGGACCTGTGGGCAAATGAGATGTGGAAGGAGTTCTGCCAGTTCTGCTTTAAGGGTAACCTTTCCTTACACTGAGTTACACTGAGTTACAGCTTTTCCATAACTCTCCTGTTCTTGAAGCTGGAGGAGGAGTTCTTTAGTTTTATTTGTTTTGTTGTGAATAGCAAATACTGTAATTTGAATGTAGCATATGTATTACTGTAGACAGAAATTTTACTTGTGAAATAAGTTTTTGTGCTAGTATCCTTTTAGATATTTCTATAACTCGTGCTCAATTGTTAGTCTGCAAGGCAGCTACTGAAGTTATCTGTAGGTGATAGAATTCTGTTATTGACTGTTGAAGCTCATTTTCATTTCTGATAAAAACAGGGGCATTTCGGAATGTCTCCCACGGTTAACAGCTATGATTAGAGGAATTGGAGATCCACTGGTTGCAGTCTATGCCAGAGCATACCTTTGCAGGGTAGGCTGTCATTTACCTCCTCTGATCTGTACCAAAGATTTACTGCAGCTGTGCTGCCACTGCTTCAAGGAGCTACCACTTTTATCTCAAGTAGTCAGCAGCCTGTCTCTTCCTTTCAACAAACAACAACAAAAAAAGATTTCTCTTCTGTTTTACAAATGGGGAATCTCTCTTCAAGTGTTTGTAATAAGTAAGAATCATTTTCTGTGCTGCTGTAGGCTGCTGCAGTGCACTGGAGTAGATACTGATTTCCTCAGTGCTTACAGATGCTTGGAGCTGATGTTAGGATCATGTTTAAGAACAGCTGTAACTGCCTCAGGGTGGTTGTTAGTGGACATGACTGTGATAGTAAGCAAGGAAATAATCAGTCAAAAGCATGTGATTCAATGCTGTTTGTTGATTTGTTGTGTGTGACTTGGGTGTATTCCTTCAGCAAATGCATTTTCATCTCACTCTGAAGGAGAATTGATAGATGCCAATAAAATCTTTTTCTTTTAATACAGGTTGGGATGGAAGTGGCACCACAACTCAAAGAAAGCCTGAATAAAAACTTTTTTGACTTTCTCCTAACATTTAAACAAGTAAGCAAATAAGTGTTTTATTTGCAAAATCAGATAAATACACTCCTTAATCAAACTGCCACATACTTAAAAAAAATTTTAGTAGTTCTCAAATCTAGATTTAGGGGTGATCCTCTGTCCAGATATAGTATGGGAAATTTTACATATATTCTGGTAAGTTGAAACTGCTCTATTCAGCATGTTTCCAGACTTGAATAATATATGTTAGGAGTTTGATATTTTTCCCCCAGCTTGCAAGGAATGCTTCAGAATATCTGTACCTTTGTGCTATCATCTGTTTAATTTGAATTCCCATACAAACTTTAACCAGTTTATCATATCTCCCATTTAATATCTCTTCACAGCAACATATTTTTGTCTCTTATTTCAACAGATCCATGGGGATACAGTTCAGAACCAGCTGGTGGTGCAGTGTGTGGAGATCCCTTTGTATTTGACCCTATATTCTCCTGCTATAGACTGGATTTTACAGTGTATTGCATACCATGCTCCAGATGTAAGTGAACCTGGTAATGCTCAATGCTAAAGTTGTGGTGAAGGGTTAATTTAAGAGTTACTAAAAAACAACCCCTCAGTCAGTTGTTACATGAGTGTGAAGGCAAGTAAAAAGGGCCTACTTAGGACTGTCTGATGCTCTCTTCTGTACAGGAAGAATGTTTGCTTCCACAAAGCTCAAGTGTGACCATTTCAAGTTCATAGGCCGTATTCCTGTTTGTTTCTTGCTGTCCTTTAGTTTAATCTTTATTTGCTGAATCCATCCTTTTCTTCTGTCATACAGATACACAAATGATTTGACTAAACTGTAGCTTAACAGTGAACAGGCTGTTTTAATCTCTGTCAGTCTGGCAGAGTTTTCACCTCTCCTGCCAGAGATAACTGACCTGGCTGGCAAATAGTGATTACCTGGAGTAATGGCATGGATGAAGGATTGCATATTTGACTTCCATAAAATGGTGGTTTTGATTGAAATGCCACTATACCTGTTCCAGAAAATGTTTTATGTTTAGCTACACCATTGTTTTCTTGTGCTGCAAATACAGGGTAAAACAGGACTATGGGAATGTATTGGAAAGGTAATTAAAACAGCTTTTAGTAGATTTCAGTACAGTAAATAAAGCTGAATATATTTGCAAAGTCTCAATTCACTAATTTTAATAAATAATTGTTCCAGGTTCTGCTTACTGAGATGATGGAGAGATGCAAAAAGTTGGGGAACAAGTAAGTGTTGCAGAGTGTAGAAGACAGGAGTCTGTAACAAGTACCCCTGAGTCCCTGCAATAATGTTCTCTCTTCCTCTTTTGGAAACAGTTTGGATGCACAGTGCAGCTTTCATTCTCCCAGTAGCTTACTAAATCATGATTGTGAACATCTCTTTTCCAGAGATGAATTCTAAAATATGGTAGATTACTTGTCAAGCTAAAGTTAATTAGTTTAACTTGATTGCTGCATTCTGGTTCCTAAGCCAAAGTCTAGGACATCTAATGTGTTCTCCCTTAGCCATGTCTCTGATGCCTGGTTTTGCTTCACTTTTTTGGGTTTTCCTTCCCTTCTTTCCCCCTGTCTTCCACTGGCTACAGTCAGGCCATACATGCATTCAGCAAGGGAAGTTGTAAAGCTGCTGGCAACCTTTGGAAGGTGGTAATACTTAGGGATTTGCTTTTTTCAACATTAAAATCAGTATCTCAAACGTCTGCTAGAAGTCTTTGTGCAGGGTAGTCGTGTTCAGGAAGATGGTTTGGTCTGAAAGTTGGATATACTGACTGGCTTTTGTGAATGCCATCTGGCCTGCTCATGGGCTCCTCTCTGTGCATTTTATTGGGTAGCTTGGCTGAGTTCTGTGAAAGTTTTCAGCTATTTTTTTTTAATGTGCTTTGCACAGTCCAGTTCTGCAGCAGCTGAGGAACTAAAATATGTTAAGCACTTAACTGAGGAATGCCAGCATTCTGTGACTGAGCTAAGGACTGCAGGGAAAGCATGATTTAAAAAATGTGCTGTGAAAGTGGTATTGTATCAGTGGGTATAGAACAGACAAAAATAATTTACATTCTCTGATGTACAAATTGTTTTGAATAGGTATTTAATTGTTTTGTGGAACTTATTTTCAAATCAACTTTCAGCATTTTTCAGTGTAAGGATGGGCTCCTCCTCTTTGTTCCTGTTTCCTCTTTGAAGGAAGGATGAAGTGTTGAGTATAATGAGGTTTTTTTTTTGAAAGAAATGTTTTTGGGACATGTCTTTTTTATTGGGAAGTTGAGTAATCCAGTTTAAAACAGTAGTGTAGTCTTCTTTCAAAGTGGAGTTCTGTGTATTTGTGTCTTCTCATGGCTGTCAAGATACTACAAAGCAAAAGGCATCAGTGTATAAATCTTGAAATAATCTCAATATGTTCCATGAGCTACTTTGCAGCCATCTAAGTGAAAAGGGACAGCCTTGTCTCTATATTGCAAAGCACAGACCTAATGACCTGGAAGTGCTTGTCTAATGATAAAATGCAAATTCCAGTCAAGTTGGGATGGGACCACTAAGGCTTAGGCAGAAACACAGAAGCTGCTGGGTTATTTTAAGCACTTCACAGAATTTCCCTCAAGGTAAGCTGCCCTGTATTCAAACTGTCTGTTTCAGACTAGTGAAGGGCACAGTGTTTTATGAGGCAGCTTCTTGAGCTAACTGATGGCTGAGGAAACTGATATTACAGTGATGCAGTGAGTTCACTCTTCCATTGTGGCTTTGGCTTGATAGTAACACAAATACCTGTCTGAGTGGTTAATCAGAAATGTCTAAATATGTCATTGCCAGTTTTCACATGACCATGACTGGGTCATTTTAATCCTATCAGTGCAGCTGCTAGAAATGTGGCTTTTATAATGCATATATAATTAATTAAGAAAAATGTCAATAGGGGTTTGCCCTCCCTTAGTATTCTTCTGAACTGTAGTTAAACAGAGAGTAAGTTTCTAAATGTCAGCTGCTCCTGATTTCCTTGATATTTCTAAATGATGGCTTCAAAAACACCTGTGTGGAAGAAGTATTTTACAGGCTGGGTTACCTTTCCTTATCCGATGGCTTAATGTTTTCTTGTTTTGCTTATGCATCATTAATCCTCATCAAAACAAGCTCAATTTGTGTGAGGCTCTTTTTTTCCCTTATTATCTTTCTTTTCTTAAAATTTATGATAGATGCTGCCCAGTTGTTAGTCCAGGAAGTTCAGATTGATGTAAATGCAGGTACTATTAAGTTTGAGCTGCTGTTGATCTGTATTGCTCTGTGTTGTTCATTGCAGTGCTTTGCTGCTGAATTCAGTCATGTCGGCGTTCAGAGCAGAGTTTATTGCTGCAAGATCAATGGACTTCATTGGCATGATTAAAGAGTGTGATGAGTCTGGATTCCCAAAGGTAACATTTTCTATCTAATTTGTACCAATTCCTTTCCTTTGACAGAGGTCTTTATGCTCTTAGTTGCCTACATAACTTGTGTGTCACTTGATTAAAATTATTCAAGTGTTTTGGTCTGAGAATCTTTCTGCACACTGTACCTGCCAGACCAGTCTTGGATGGACATGCATTGTCTGCTTTTAATTAAAAATTTCTCATTAACTGTCAGCATCTCCTCTTTCGCTCCCTGGGATTAAACTTGGCATTGGCTGATCCTCCTGAAAATGATCGCCTTCAAATATTAAACGAAGCCTGGAAGGTTATAACAAAGCTGAAGAACCCACAGGTGAGTTACTGTCCATTCTGTTTCACTATTGACTCTGTGTTTAGAGCAAAGTTGTAGCCAGTTGTTCAGGCATGACATTGTTTACCTTTTCTAAATACACACAGTTGCAAAATAATAAGTAATGGCTGTAATATCTTTGGATCATCCCTGCTTTCTTAGCTCTGCTGATGCATAACTTAATTTTACATAACATTATTACCCAAATGCAGCTTTTGAGTTCTAGATCTTTAGGTCTGCAAGAATCATACCTCAGAAGTTAATTCTTTCAAGTGTCATTTTTGCAAGTGTATTTCTCACAGTCTCCTGCAAATATTGGTAGTCATGAGACACATGTATTTCTAGGATTATATCAACTGTGCTGAAGTGTGGGTGGAGTATACCTGCAGACATTTTACGGTAGGTGGAAATTACTTTGTTTCCTTTGAATTTTTCTGATACAGACTACGTGGCTGTGCTGGCAGTCTGGTATTAAAGATGAAAAGGCTTTGACTATTCACTATAAATGCGTAAGAATGAAAAAATGTGTTTTCTTTCATGGAAGATGAATGGGGACAAAAGATGCAGCTTTGAAGCTTTCCTACCCCACAGCACTGAGCATTTCTTATCCTTTTGTTTTAATGGCAGATGGGTCAGTTTAAGTAAGGATTTACTGGAGCTATGGTTAAAGTTCCTGGCTTAATTAGAGCGCTGTAAAAAGCTGATGCTTTGGCAAATGGAAATAAATTATGTTACTCAGCTGGTGTTTAGTGACTTGATTTATGTGCCAATTTCATTTTGTAACCTTGTTTTTTGGTGCACAGAAGCGAGAGGTCAATACGGTTCTGGCTGATGTTATCAAACACATGACTCCTGATCGAGCATTTGAAGATGCTTACCCACAGGTAAAGAGTTTATTTTGACAAATCTCTAAAAATCTCATGTGCATTTTCTTAGGTGGAATCAATTCTTAAACATTACTGATAACTTTTATAACAAAACAATTATTTTTAAACACTAGTTTCAAATTGGGAAGCCTCTTGGAACACTGTAATGCTGTGATTTATTCCTCCTTTCTTTCCATGCACATCAGTCTTTTAATTCTGAGAAATGCTAAACTTGAATGATTTATGTATTTAGAAGTAGCAAGAGTTAACTCCTACATCAGCAGTGGTGTTTGCTGAAGGAAATTAGCAATCATGATAGGCTGTTTAAACAGAAGTAAACCATAAAATAATCCATCTCTACTTGGCATTGTTAAGGCTTCAGTGAATTATTGTGTCCAGTTCTTGACTGAATGCCAAATGAGATATGGATTAGTTGGTTACTTGGAGGGTAGAAAAAGTGCCTACAAAAGAAGGTTTAACAAACTGGTTTGAGTTTTCTTTCTTTATTTATTTGGCTGAGATTTTTAGTGCAGAGAGCTGGAGGACATGGAGACTCTAAAAAAAAGTGTTTAACTATGGAAGCGAAGAGCAAATAAAGCCTGGGCAGGCTGGCCAGTCTCTGTTCAATGTGGGTTCTGAAGGGTATGTAGGAAAAGTGTGGAGGAACAGCATAGCTATAGTTTGTCCCACTCTGGGGAAAGAGATTATGTTGGTGAGTGCTTGAAACATCTTTCAAAAGAGTCTTCTATGAATAACTAAAGAAGAATAATCTCTGGTGTGGATAGTCTTAATTGAATTCATATTACAATAATTTTCCCCTTTTTTAAACTTTTCCTTTTTCTCCCCTTTAGCTGCAGTCAATTATTCAGAAAGTTATTACCTATATCTATGACTTTGCTCTGCTTTTTTCAGTGGTAAGTGATATTCTCTTTAATACATTTTTAAGAACTGTTTGGCAGTTTTTCTGCAAGAGAATTTGCCTTGTCTGGGATATTTAGATTGTTTACAAGTTCACAGAATGCAAGGACTTTTTGTCATGTAGCTAAGTGCAGAAATATTTTGTGAGCTTTCTGTTGCTTACTACTTAAGTACTTATTATTCCATTTCCAGTTTTCTATACTTTTTTCATTAGGCTGTTAAATGCTCTAAGTTTGTTTGTTACTGTGGCATAAGTGACAGTGAATGGAAGATGAAATACCATTTATTTGTGTGTGTGTTAATGTAATTGCTGGTAGCTGTTTCTGTGTGATAATACATACTTACCATACCCTCTCATTGCACTTTCACTTGACATTGGAGCAAAGTGGAACTCAGGGAGGTCAGAGACTCTGTATGAGGTAGAAAAATAGAAACAAAGACAGCAAGTGTGTGTCACAGTACAGAAACCATTTAAAGTGAAACTTAAGACTGATGCTGTGGACTTGGGGTCAAGCCTTGTTCACAAATTGGTTAGATAATTCTGAAAAACTTACCCTCGCTATATTCTTGAGATGATACAGACATGAAGTATTTTAGTATGTTAAACGACCTAGACCCTTATTTTTTAAAGGAAATTGTATGTCTTATACCTTCTTAACTTGCTCTGGATAGATGTGAAATTGTTGATGATGTGTAGACTATTTTAATTGTATATAATATTTTACCTTTTTTTTCGTATAGATGTCTGAATTTGTGATGACCCTAAGCTGTTTGAAGCATATGATTGCTTTTAAAAATAAAGTGCAACATTTGATTCAAACAGTTCTGTATTTTGTGTTCCCTTCTGGCTCTCTGTGATCAATAAATTGATACATCTTTCAACCATCAGTCCTTTTCCATTAGTTCCACTTTTTCATCCTTGGAGATGAATTACTGTTTTCAAAACAGATGAACATAGTTTTACCTAAATTGCTGTGCTTATAAAACTTATCCAAAATAAGTGTGTTGCTTGTAACACACCTAATTTTACTTGTTTATGTATTTGTACTTTCAGGAGAAATTCTTGCCTTTTCTGGATATGTTCCAGAAGGAAAGTGTGAGAGTGGAGGTTTGCAAGTGCATTATGGAGTCTTTTATTAAGTAAGTGGAGACTGTTGAAGTGAAATGCACTCTGGAGGCTCTGAGAAACTTACTGAAAGATGGCTAGGGAAGAGGAGTCAGTATATTGGCTATTTAGTCTAAGAAGGTGTTCCAGGCTATGGGAAAGAAAAAAGAAAATGTGTCAATTTTGTTAATTTATTGATGGACTGTTTGACTGTTCACAAAGAAAGTTGAAGTAATTATATTAATGCTGACTTGCTGTGGATTAACAGAATAGTTGTTCTCTGAGCTCATTTTTTTTTTTGTGTTGCCTTAGTCAGTTTATGAAATTAATTTCACATTCCAGTTGCTGTGACAGCACAGAATACAGTATTGCTACAGTTGAAAATGAACTTAGAAAATGAAAATACATTCAACTGTTCTGAACGTTAAGCAGTCCTTTTCAAATAATTAAGAAGTTTCTTGAAACATTTTTCTCATTTCCACCTTCCCTTCAGGTATTTATATTCACTGTTGAGCCTCCCAAGCCTTCTCTCCCCTAGGGCACACGAGGCCAGCTCTCTTGGCTTTACTGCCAAGACATGAGAGATGCTGTGGCCCCTTAATCATCTTAGTGGAGCTGCACTGCACATGTGCCTGTGTACCTAAACCTGACACTGATCCTTCCTGCCTGTCCCTGAGTAGATGAGAAATTAGAATATATCTTGGTAAATCCAGGATGGTTTTATTTTGATGTTCTTAGATTGCCTCAGTGTATCACATGTCCAACTTACTGTGTCCCTTAAGGAATCAGAGTCTGTGGCTTGGCAATGCAGCTGTGTATTTTAAGATAATATTTCTTGGCTGGCATTTACTGGAATTCTACCCATATTAACCATGTGATCATTGATGTTCATTGGTTCACAAGTGAATTTAAAATTTGTGCAGTGTCATACGGTGCTGGTGATTGAAATGATGCATTAAATGGGTGTTATTCTATGAATTGTTTTCCATTTTGACAGAGCAGGATTTTTCATCATTTTTCTGACACCCTTTGCAGGCATCAGCAGGAGCCAACGAAGGATCCTGTTATACTCAACGCTCTCCTGCACGTCTGCAAGACCATGCACGATTCTGTGAAGTAAGAGGAACCTCTGCTGAGAGCTCTCGTTTATGCAGAGTGGGGCTGCCTGATGTGGTTTCGTGTTTCTGGGGCTGTTTGTTTCAAGGTGGATTAAGACATGAATCCAATTAGTGCTGAGGGAAGAGCTGTGCAGTGAAGTGGCAGCACGTCCCATTTGCTCTTTAATTACTGCTGTATTTTGAATACTGAAGCAGAATTTTAAAAAGGAAGTAGCAGTGGTTTTGTAGTTTTGCAGTGAAGCAGAGACACTTTTCAATCCAATCTTCAAAACACTTTGAGGGTGAAACCAATGTAATCTTTGAGTTATAGTGAATAATAAGCTATTTCTGAGTTTCAAGTGAATGTGTAGCTACTAAAGCACAGATTGCCATACTCAATTATACGTTTTTAAGGGTCAGTGTTTTCAGGCATTAGAAAGGGTGTGAAGACTTTAAAAGGAAACCTGGAAGATCTCTAGGAGCTTCAATAGGGGAGGCTAGAACTGAGAAGATGTTGCACCATCTCTATCTTTCCCCTAATTTCTCCTCTTCTATTTTGCCCTTGGCTTTGAGAGCTGAGGTTGTTTGGGATCCCCTGTGCCCTACTGCACCCTCACTGTTGTGCAGTGTGGAAAGCAGTGTGGTTTGTAGGTAATTTGCAAAAATCACACCAAAATCTGTGTCTGATTGAAAACAGAGCATCACAGTGCTGCAAATTCTAGTTCTCAAGAGGACAAAACCCCCCTTTTTTTCCTTCTGGTTTGGGTTGAATTGTAAGGGCACAGTCTCTTTTGCCACTCTGAGCCCAGAGCCTCTTAATATGACAGATGCTGCAAAGGAACTTAAAACTTTCTCATCCTTGATAGGCCATGAATGCAAGATTTATTGTCAATAAAGAGGTCAGACTTAGCATGTAATTCAAATTTATACCAGCTAGAGTGCTTTATTTTGGGTTAGAGTAACTTACTTGGCTGTATGTTGCACTAAAAGCCACTTCAGCCTTCAAACAGAGCAATATATTGTACCTAAACCAGCTTATTAAAAAAAATAAAGCAGCTTATAGCAATCCATGCTGGTGCTTCCTCTGACACTTTGCCAAAACAATTTGATCATTTACTGGGACATTTGAAATCCCTTAAACCAGCAGTTCTTGAGCTGAGATGGTTGTACATCTCTTGGTAAATCATCCTAAATTCCAGTTATCTTTAAGTAACTCCTGCATCTGTTTTTGCACCCTGGTTGAGGAAACTCCAGCCCATTGTGTGGGCTCTCTGACCCCTGTAACAGCTGCTGGAGGGTAACAGCCTTTACACTGCTAGGGGTCTGATGCACAATTGAACTGGAAACCTATTACTGACCTGGAGATCTCATTACAAGCCTTCTGAGCCTTTCAGAGCCCATCAGTTGACTCTTTTGATTGGCAATGCACTAATGAGCTCATCATGCTGAGGTTTTCTTTCCTCCCTTACTGAATTTGTATAGTAAAACTATTGTTCTCTTCCCATCTGGTGTCTGAGTTGGAAATTGGTAACTGATACACTAAAGGTCAAAGCTGGAGCCAAGCATATAATAGTAAAGGGATTAAATTGTATTAGTTAATTGTAATTTTAACTTTTTGTTCATCCATTTTCAGTGAAACAGGTTTGACTGACTGGATTTTTATGTCATGTAAATTTGTTTCAAATCAGATTTTGGACTCTTGGTGTACAATAGGTGTCTGTGATAGTTTTGAAAAGAAACTCCTTTTTTACATATCAGTTTAGTTCAGTTCTTATTAAAACATGAAGAAAACCAGCACTGTAGCAAGATGAAGTTAATTATTTTTTAAATTCTGAGGCAAGGTTAGTTAAAACAGAAAACCTTAAACAAAACAAACCCCAAATGAAACAATAAACTAGTATGTTTATTGTATTCTACAGTGTATAACATTTAAAGGGTATTTCAAAAGCTTTATTCCTTAAATATGATCACTTTCTTCTAAGAATAGACTTACTAATTTCTTTAGGTTTTTAGACTTAATTCTTTCTCAAGTTCTCATATTGCAACACAAGACTGAAGCTGTTTGTTTGCTACAACAAAAAACATTAGCTTCCTTCTCCTCATGCCAAAGTCTGAGTTTTTAGAGAGTCTAAAGACACTCAGCAATTTTTACTTTTTAAAAAATCTGTAATTTGGATTGGTTCATGGCTGACTTTGTGATATTCACATTAAAATTAGTTTTCTACAGACAAATTTATAAAATATTATGTATAATTTGACCCTTTATAGATAAATAGGATAAACAATATTCTAAAATTTACCAAATAATTTTTTTTTTCTAGTGCACTAACACTTGAGGATGAGAAAAGAATGTTAGCAACTCTGATAAATGGATTCATAAAAATGGTGAGTGACCATTGTGTGCAAGTGTTGGGTGCACCCTAGAGCTTGGATTTCTGTGAGGTGCCCACGGGGAGCAGGTGCCTGTGTGGCTGGGTCAGAGCCCAGTCTCTGACTTGCTTCAGGAAGCACAGGCAGTGCATTTCAGTGAGATAATGTCTGTGTTCAAAGAAATGTCACACAGTGCTGAAGCTGATTGGTGCAAGATGAAAGTTTAAAGTACACATGTTGTTTATTTAATCGTACTTTCTGCTAGTTTTGTAAATCTGTAAAACAGAGCACATATTTAAAAGTTAAACAGCAACTGAAGCATCAGAGAGGTCACTGGTTTATGTGAAGGAAGTTCCACTACTTGGCTCTAAATGGAACCAATACCAGCTTTCAAAAATACAAAATAAGTGTAACTTTTTGTTATTCTGTCTCTGTTTATCTTAATTTATAAATAAAATAATTCGTATAATTAAATTAGTAGTCCCAGGAGAACCCCAGGTGTTCTGTCTTGAAATTAGTCTTTAAGCCCATCCCTCACTCTTATTCCAATAAATCTTTTGTTGGTCTCTGTTGGTTTTGAGATGTTAGGCTGTTATAGGGAGACTTTCTCAAGCTTTTCTGAGCTCATAACCATATACTCCCAATATACTCCCAATGCCTGGTTTTCCTCTCACACAGAGCTGTCAGGCTCTGTGCCTACTTGTCCTCTTTGTTCTTTGTTGCAGTTCTATGGGTTTACTCTAGATGGTTGCTTTTTCTTCAACTATAATAATTTGCTACTGAATGTTCTAATATAGCCTTGCTTTATTAAGCTTTACATGCAGTATAATTTCCTCCTAAAGGAGGATTTCTTGCACTGAACAAAATTTGATGTCTTGATAGTCCTGGTTTGGGGGGAAAAAATCCCAAAGCAGCAAAATGACTATTTATGAATTGAAACCAGCACACATTAAAATGTGGAGGGAAAAGAAATTGTTACAGTCATCCTTACAGACTTTTTGGTGGAAAAATTTATATTTTTGGATACATTTTCTTGAGACTAGGACTCAAGAATCAGCAGTTGTACAAATAGAGGAAAAGCAAAGACGGCTGTAATGTGAAAAGCAATCCTTTGTTTTCTGGTGCAGTTGCTTTGATCTTTCACTATATGGGTTAAATGTAAATTTTATTCTAATTTTGTAAAAAATTCTTTTGCATGTGACTTGAGAAATAATAAATAATGCAACCTTGACTTCTATTAGGAAAAAAAATTGCAATAGAATACATAAATACAGACTGCCTGGAGAATGTTCCTCATGCTCTGCTTTTAATTGACAGCTGAGACACTCCAGCTGACAGCACTTGGGTTTTTTTAAATCTGTAGGGTTGGAAGAGGGTTGTTCTCACACAAAGGTTGTTTTTCGACTTCTTTCCTGCCACAATGCAAGGTTACAGGCTTTTGCCATACTATATAAGCATGTATTAATTAACCAAACTTGAGGAAAACCTGCTCTTCATACTGGTTTATCTAATTAGGAAAAATGCTATTTTCTGTTGAAGGCCCTTTATCAACTAGAAATTAGAGGAATCTGAATATAGATTCACAGATCTATTTCTATTATTCTGGGGTTTTTTGTGTTGCTTTCTAAGTATGATCAAAACCAAGCCTTCTTCTCTCCCATAAAAAATCAAGAATTCTGCTAGGTTTGAAAACACTTCACAAACAGGATTTAAATTTTGTTTTCTTGAAAAATCATTGATCTGTAAAGTAGATAGACCCTCATGTGGAGTATAGATAAAAAACCCAAAAAACCAAAACAGTAAACCAAAAAAAGTAAAACTTTCATGAAACAAACCTGAAGCTCAAATATTGCAGACAGTTAAAAGAACAGAGTTTCTCTGACTGCTATTTGTTGTTACTGCTGGGTTTTCTCCTTAGCAGTATATGGGGATTTTGACTTTTGAATATCTGTGATTTATCTGCATGCAGTTTTACATATATTTAAGGCCTACAGTGGTAAAGTCTGGGGCCTTTTTTCTCTTACAGGTTTCATTTGGCCGTGACTTTGAGCAACAGCTGAGTTTCTATGTTGAAGCCAGATCAATGTTTTGCAATCTGGAGCCTGTTCTAGTCCAGCTGATTCATGTAAGCCACAGTTTATCTGCCTTTCCTTAATAAATGGGGAATATATTTGCATTTCTCCCATTCCCTGCTCAGGTTATTGGTGTATTGCAAAATAAGTCTGAAGTATTTTAATCAGGTGTTTATAAAGTGAGCTTTGATCTCATCTCTGGTTCTATCCCCCTAAACACTCTGAAGTTCTTGCTTGACAGTCATGCATGGTACCATTGCAACAAAGAAAATGGGCTACCTTGCAGAGATTTCATGTATAATAAAACAAATGGTACTTCTGTGCATTCAGAATTTGGGTTGCCTCTTCTGTAATCCTCCATCTAGGAAAGATTAGACTGTGTCTGGCTGCAGATCCAGGCAGAGTCCTGCTGTGCTTGGGAAGGTTAATCCCTTCTCTGTATTGAGTCACAGGTGTGCATTAGCTGCATCTGATTCCTTTGCAGCATTGTATCTTCCCTTAAATCCATTTGTTATTTTGGTTTATGGTTTTTTAATCTGTGTTAGCTAGAAATCATGATTGTTATGCTAGCAAGGAGGTGATAGCACTATAGCTGGGAAGGAAATGATAAGCTAAAGGCTTGAATAGAACAAGTCTACTTTCACAAATTTAGTTATATTTGCTTTAAGGAAGTCACCAACATTCTCCCAATAAAAAGTAAATAGTACAGTAGGGACACACTGTGTCAGGGTTCCTTTGGACACTGGCTGTTCTCTAAATGCATGCAGTAGAACATGCAGGTTGTCATTTGCCACTGAGGCTGTGCATTTTTCTTAATGGTTTGCTTTTGTTTTGTGTGTGTAGTCTGTGAATCAGCTAGCAATGGAAACCAGAAGGGTGATGAAAGGAAATCATTCCAGAAAGACTGCTGCATTTGTCAGGGTAGGTCTGACTAATAAACTCTGAGCCTGCTTTCTTTGCAGATAATGCTGTCTGCTGCCACCTAAGTTTATCATTTTTGCAAAACCAGTATGTTTGTATTTTTTGACACTCTTTGTAGTCCCATTTTCTCTTGTTAAGAGCAGTCTTTCCTCTCTAAAGCCAAATGTTGCTGTTTAAGGAAAAAAAGACCCAAACCATCTAATAGCAGCTTTGCGTTGAAAAAGAGCAGCAAGACTGACTCCCTCTCTAAAGGAAGGTTCACCAGAGAGGTGTTTGTGTGAATTCTGGAAAGCTCAGCTTTTCAAATATACTTTTCAGTATATTTGAAATAAAATACTAAATTTCTGTGTAACTCACAGTTATAGAGAGAATGGGAGATGGGGTATAAAATATATTCAAACTTCTGTCTCATAATATCAGTGCTGATATGCTGAAATCAGGATTTGAATTTCAAATAAGGTCCTCCTTTCAGCTTTATCTCCTCTGAGTGTATATAGAGATGGTCAAATGTGCCTTGAACTGTGCACAGGCCATCACAGGATATCCAGGCTGCTTGTGTCCCCTTCTTCTAACCTGCAATGTGGCAACCAAGGTGTGTCCATCTGCACATGGGAAGCTGTTTGTGTGTGCTCCAGTTCCTGGCAGCTGTGTGCTGTCCTGGGCTGCCCCTGGGGGCTTCTCTCTGCCTGGGGGCTCCTTGCCCTGTCCCGGGCTTTGGGCTGCAGCACCTGGGCTACATCTGCTTCCTCCCTGTGCACTCAGGGGACACTGTTCTCCTTTTCTAGTTGGCTTTTGGTCTTGAGCTGCAAGGTGGTTACCTGAGGAGAGAGGAACTCCTTGAGCTACAGTCACAGAGAGTCAGTTTTGAGCTTATCTAGTAAGAGCAACAATTAAAAAAGATATATAATTATTGAAATACTCATTAGAAATTTTAAGTTGCTGATTTTGGGCTTCACATATTTGCTTTGTGTTGAAAATGTTTTCCAAAACTGATTTATGGGTTTTGATCCTAGTTGTGTATTAAATCAGTAAAGATTGTTATAACTCTGAGATAGGAATTTTATTCAATTTTTTAAAATTTACTTTAGGCTTGTGTGGCCTTCTGCTTCATTACAATTCCATCTCTGAGCAGTATCTTCACACGTCTCAATCTGTATCTACACTCTGGACAGGTTGCTCTGGCAAATCAGTGCCTTTCACAAGGTAAGGCATGAATTTGGCTCCTTAAAGGTTCTCTTATTTTAGAAACATTTCTAACTGAGTAATAACTTGGTTGCTATCCTAAGTCATATGTATATTTATGATGCAATTAAAATACAGCTCTGTTTCAAACACTGTTAAAGCCAAACCTTGTCACATTAAAGCAGCTCTTCAATGTGAGCTCAACGGCCAGGACAGCTGACTGTAGCTGACATAGTCCTGGCCATGAGGTAGATTGTCCTAAATTACTTAGGAATTATGGAAAGCTTTTCTCCTGCATAATTATGCAAGCACTCTAATCAGAAATAATGTGCTTTATTATAACTGAAAAAAGAAATAAAAACATCTGTGTAGTAGTTCATAGACTGACAAAATTCACAAATGAGCTGGAAAAGAATTCCAGGTTAGGTCAGTGACAGCAGAAACTTGCTCTCAAAGCACCTGCTTGACAAATGCTGAGCCAGGAAAATGTGCCACTATATCAGAGTGAAACAATGGTGTAATATCAGATCACATGAAGACTGAAAAATATATTTTCTTTTTTGGGATCTGAATTATTGATTGAAATGTGCCTGAGCACATTTTCAGCCATCCTGTTAGTTCAGTGTTAAGTAATAGTAGATTCTGACAAAAAGTGATTTGGGGAAAAAACCGGGAGCTATTCTGGCATCAGAATGAACATGAAATCTGTATCACCATTTAATATGAACTCGTTCATGTTACAAATGGAGGTCAGTTATCTCTTCCACGAGTCTTCATATATTTTTAGCTGCTTGCAGTATTTTTCTTTTCCTTTTTGAAGTGATGTCATTCTACTTTGTTTTGCAATTTTAATCCTGACATTAAATGTCTGCTCTCCAATAGTAAATGCTTTTCCTTTACATGTTTCCAGTGGACCTGTGAGAGTAATAAATTGGATTACTTTGCAACATCTTTTGTTGTGCTATTAATTCTTTGTGGTAGCTCTGTGCTTCTTCACGAGAGCTTGTTTTCCAAGCTCTGCATTTACCAGCAAGTTCCAGCTGCACAAACAAGCTGACTTAGGATGCTGATTAAGACTTTTTAGTGCATGGTGACTGTTGCATTTCTTTGTTTTGAATCTGATGTTGCCCATACAGCAAAGCAGAGGGATTTAGAGTAAAGCTGACTGTTGTGTCCAAGTTTGTTGTGCAAATAAAAGATCTGCAAAGTCTGTTGTGCCATTAGCATTGTGCTTTCAGAGTTTACATAAAATGGGCTCACCTTTTCTCTCTATGGGGTTTTATTTAATTGACCAGCTTACCTTATCCTGTATGTCAATTTTCATTATTGTTGCTGTGTTGCAGAGCTTCTCTTATTGGAAGCAAATCCAAAGCAGTTTTTTTGTAATATTTGGTCTTTGAGAATTATTCCCTGACCATGCTGGGACCCACTCTGTGATTTAATATCTTTCAACTTATAAACTGCTTTTCAGCTGTTTTTGTGATCCAGTTCTTCTCTGAGTGAGACTCCTGGGCCCCAACAACTGTCCAGATTTTTCAGTGTGAGGGTTTACGAGTGTGCACAGCTGTTGTTTGGCACATGAATACAGTGCACTCACTAAACAATTTACAGGATCCCCATCCTGAAATCTTTTAAGGTAGCAGATAAATGCAAAGTATTATGATCTCAGTCTCTAAAATGCATGTTCATTAACCACACTCTCCTGAATTTTGGACCCACAAGCTAGAGAGAGGAGCATTTGGTCCAGCTCTGCTTTTGTTAAAATGAAGCAAGAGCAAAACTGATGTTCAGTAACTCACTTCATGTACCAAGGTTATATAGTTAATCACTTTTTTGCTCCCCTAGCAAAGCTATTTTGGGTATCATTTGTACTCAGAGACATGTCACTTGCATGAGTAATTTAGCATGTGTTAAACAGACACTGTCTTGGGACATTTTTTGTGAACTGTCTTTCCATATGTTGATGCACTGAAGTCACATAATGTGTCCTTGAAAGTTGCTTTTCACTCAGTTTAATCTGTATCTCAACTGAATGAGTAAGAAGAAGTACTGATGAATTCATAACAGCAGATTTCACTCCAGTCAGTTAACTGGTGCCAATTAGACACTGATCTACTAAAACCAATGCAGCATGAAGTCAAGATTTAAGAGTGTGCCATTAATGATAGCATTAGGCCAGGAAGAGAAACTGTGCCTTGTCTGTGACCTTTATTTCATGCTGATTTGAGTTAGCTTAATTGGTTTAAAATTGTGAAGAGAAATAAAGCTGAAAGGTAATGTACCTGATTTGACAGCTCAGTCAGCAGTGGTGCATACATGAGTTTTGTGCATGCATTTCCTCCTTGAAGATTCCAGCCGCTGTTTGTAGCAAGGTGAAGTCTTGGATTTTTCTCAGTATTAAGTTTCTGTGGGGAGTCCAGCTGTTTGTGAGTTGACTTTTCACTTAAGCACATAACAAATTGAGTTTCACAACTTCTGTTGGCAATAGGAAGATTTCTGTGAATTGCCAGTGTATCTATCTTGAAAAAGAAGGACGTGCAGGTCATAACAATAAATGGATTTATGAGCCTGAAGATTGCTTTGATAAACTATCAGCAGTTGGAGAGCCACAGCTAATCTGCTTATAGCTGGAAAAGTTTGGGTTTTGATCATTCCCAGTTTCAAGGAGCAGCAGTAGTAACCATCAGTCCTTGAGTCTCACTGCTCACATTTCCTCTGTCCCAGCCTTGCTTGCTTGGATTTCCCACACTGTTAAATCAGATCAAGTGTTTGGACTCATCCAAATACTTCAGTATTAGAAAATTTTAATATTTTGTGGAATAGATTTTCTTTAAGACAATGAATTGGGTCAGAAATGTGAATTTATAGGCTCCTGAAACTCCAGCAGTAATACACTGATGGATGTCTGTCTGGGAATGTTCAGAATGTATCAAAAATGACTGTTGTCTCTTTCATCTCCAGATCCCAAGACCTGCTTTAAATGAAATGAATCTGTAATTATGTTTAAAATGCTGTAGGTGAATTTGCCCTGGATGCATAGTTTATACCTCTGGAGAGCCCATTAAGAGCCCACCTTTGAAAGGAAGATGCTAGATTTTACAGAGATGAGCTTTTCATTTCTCTTAACTGAGCCACTGAGCCCTGCATGCTGCCAACAGAGAATAATGAATTCTCATTGGTCATGCTTCCTGTCATGGGGGTGCTTGGACTAAATTGAGATTAAATGCATGCTCCATTGTGTCACTCTTCTGGACTTCTGAGATATAGGTATGATTTTCATTGCACACATTTCCTCCCTGTGGAAATGCTACTTTTTGTCTGTGAAAAAAAGAGACAGCATGAGTTTTTAAAGTTTGGTCACAGCATTCAGCAGGTGCTAGAGATGACATAACTTGTAATGTGTTAAGCAGCATTTTTGTTTTAAAGGCTGTGAAATCTTTGCCTCACTTGAGAAATAACGTGCTGAGTGAATAAGGTAATTGAGCTTATTCTGTCTGACTGATTTCACTGGGATATTGTCAAACATTAGACTTTATAAAAATGGAGAGCCTCTCCCTCAGATCAGCTGCTGCAGACCTTTTTGCTTAGCAAATGCAGATTTTAATTCTGAAGCATAGAGTGCTTAATGCACTTCTAGGTATTTGTTTTGTTTTCCAGTTGTGGCTAAAACACAGTTACACCTAGTGGATTGGAAAATAATTTCATTTCTACTGCAGAAAATGTTACTTTTCCGCTCTGGAGAAAGTATGGTGTGGAATATCTAATAAGTAATTTTAAATCATAGTCTAATAATGGTTTAGAGTATTTTTGAAGTACCATTACATAACAATTTCTAATATTTCTTCTTAATCTCCTGAAATCTTTATAGATCTGAAGAATATAAATGGAGAGAATTTGAGATTATGAATTTAGAAAAATAGGAACATGAAGGGATTTTCATAATTACAGATACTAGGACTTCTTGGCTCATGTTTCTCTGGTGAGAATGGTATATGGTGACTCTGTTATCTTTTTAAATACTGCTTTCCTTGAAGGCAGTAAAAGAGCTTTGGGAAAAGCATGATGTGATACTGTTTTCCTTACTAGCAATGCTAAGTGTTGCTTCCTTTGGACACAGCTGTGACCTCTTGTGTTACCTGGGACTTCCACAGCTGGAGACTTCTCCCATTCCCTGAGCTTTTTCTTGTTCCTCTCTTTATCCCAGCCAATCATTTTTCTGTATGATGTGAGAGAGGTGACATCTCTGTCTCTGTAAGCTTTTCAGACTAGCACTTTATATCAGTTTGTCAGTTCTTCGAGTCTGTCTAGCCCATGACCTGTTTTTGAAAGTGTCTTGTAGCATCTCCTAGGGAAACAATAATGTAGAATGATGCTTCTTGGCTTTCAGGTGCAGGTGATTTAATATATCCTTCAACAAAGCTTGTGTATGGACCAGACCGTGGTATTTAATAAAATAGATGGATGAGTTCTTGGGAATTTAATATTTTTAATCAATTTTTACTTTTTGGCCTTTGTAACTTCATGGGATGATGAGTTCCACAGTGATCTGCTACTTGGAAGTCTAATGTCTAGGGATTCATTTATCTTAAATGTTAGGTGAGTGGCTCAGAGCATGCAGCTGATCTGCTGGAGCAGAATTCAGCCACTCCTGATTAATTTTCTTCTTGCTGTCTGTGAGATAACATAGTCTGTAAATTCCTGAAGTTGTTGTCAGTATTGCTTTTTCTAATAAGTAAACAGGTCCTAGCACCGTTTTTATCTTTCTGTGCTTTTGGAAATGGGAAGACTGGGACTAGATTAGATTATTCCAGGTATAAATGCCCAACAGCAATCTAAATGATACAATGACACCTCAGTTTTCCATTACTCTCCTAGGGATTCTTATAATTGCCTTGCCTTTTTAACAGCTGTTTAGGATGTAGTTTTTAGGAATCCATCTATAATGACTCCAAAATCCTTCATGAGTGTAAATAGTCTATTTAGATCTTCTCTTTCTATAGTTTTAGCAAGGGCTGTCTCTTTCCCCACATGCCATACTAATATTAGAGTTCATCTGCTGCTTTATTGCTCAGAATCCTGAGATCCATCTGTGGTGCTTTGCAGTCACGTTCCAGACCAGTCTGCAGACACTGTCACCTCCCGGCTCATCCTCAGGACATGTCTCTGCAAAACCTGACAGAATGCAGTAGTTGTTTTGCTCCACTGTGAAAACTTTTTCTTCCTTCTCCTTCCCCCATCCACCCCTTCCTTTATTAAGTTATGTACCCTCATGAGGACCTTTTTCCTTATCTCCTTTCAGCTTTGTTGTTTGAAGAGCCATTTCTATAAGGATAAATATTAAAAGTTTTTTTTAAATGCTAAGTATTTAGAAATGGAATTACTTTTAAACATAGTCTTGCTGATTCTTTGGAAGACTTGAGAGAGGAATGATTTGGAAGACTTCTGAGGAATGATGTCTCTCTGCAAAAAACATACAGACTTTCCAGCCTTGCATCATACTTTTTGTATGTCTGCTCTTTTTTTTTTTTTTTTGCCTCATAATAACAGTAGAAAAGATAGTATTTAACTGCAGCATTTGTTGTTTCAAAATTTTTAGTATTACTGGTGGAGCTTTCTTTAGCGACTGCTGCTGATGTGGTACCTCATAGTCTTTAGGGATTATGTGTAATTTAGAGAGGCAGGCTGTAAATTGTGGTTGGTTTTTTTCTGGGTGGGAGGGGAGGCAGTGGGGTGGGGTGTTTGTTGCAATTACTGATTACACCTTAAGAATAAAATTTCTTGTGTCCAGTGTCCTTGCTGATACTGTCTGATGGCCCTGTACAAATCTTCCACTTCTGCCTCTGCATGCCTTTGTCTCCAAGTACTAATGCCTTGTAACAATCTTTAACCAAGCTGTGCCTGAAACTGGCTCTGCCAAGCTTCATCCACATAATTACCTTTTTATCTGCAGCTAATTCGTAGTGTGAATTAACATAGTACATTCCAGCTCACCAAGCAGCAGTGCATTCATTTTCTAATTTCAAGTTTTTTCCTTCAAACAATTCTTGGTTGTTTCTGGATTGGAAGCAATGTGTAGAGATCTTTAAGATGGAGAACATTTTGCAGTAGTTCAAGGGAAAACCACATTTCAACAATGTGGCAAAACTCTCACAATGACCCCACCAATGTGAGAAGAAGGAGATTAAAATGTTTTCAATGCTTGGTTGTCAAAACAGTAATGGATTAATTTATTTAACAGAAAAAATAGAGTAACAAAACCCCCACACTTGTTTCTCAATAATATTTTGCACTGGAGTACAAGCTTCATTAAATTTCCAACATCTGTTGGATGTGGAAGCAAAATCTTCAGAGTATTAAATTAGGTTTGACAGTGTTGTAAGACAGGGAAGTGGTGTGGAATGCAGAAGATGTGCATGGTCCCTGGTTTTGTCCTTTGGGTGGACTTAGCCTGGTGTAATTATAGCTGTGACTAAAAATACTTTGGGTAGGTATGTTCAACTCGCTCCCTTTTGCTCTTTGAAGGTAGACTTAAGGAGCTTAATTGTTTTCCCATCTGACTTTGGTCCTCCTTATTTTTGCCTGCCTGAAATCTTGAATCTGTACAGTTTAATAGGCTATCAGAGATACAGAAAATACAAGCTGAATTTTTATATATAGAGATTGATATATAGAAATATATGGAGGTACATATAGTTGTGTGTAGGTGTAATTAAACATGTACATGTGTCATAGTGAATATTGTCAAGAGCAGAACATTCAACACCAATTTCACTTGTTTTTTCTTCTGTAGGAGGCTAATTCTGGAAGTGCTGACTTGGATATCCGAGACTGTTAGTTTTTGTAGCCTGAAGGTCAACATGTGTGCTTGGGGGAAAGATTTATAGGATTGTGGTCAACCAAAATGAAGGAGCTGCTGTGAAAGGATGAATGTAGTGAAGCATGAAGTATGTTACACTGGGAGCACTGCACAAGATATTAACAGCAGTCAGGGAAGGCTCCATCGTGGTGATTTGTTGTAATGCACAGGCTGCTCTCCCCTTATCCACTTGAGCAGTGGTTCACTTAAGCAGAGTATTGTACTTTAAGCAGATAAGAAAACAGCATCCTTCATCAGAAGAAGCCTTTTTAATCTTCTTTTTGGTTGTTCAGTCAAGAACGTAAGATTGTCGTGGTTTTCAGTGCTTTTTAAGTGGTTCCTTATATCTTTGGAAGCCAGGAAAAGTGATGTATGGTTTTGTTTTAAAACATCTCTGCAGTAACAGTTTTAAAAATTTACTTTTAAAGATACAGAGAAACCATCATTGCATAACCCCATAATTAATGTAACTCAGAATTAAACACTGATGCTCATTTCATACTTGAAAAAAACAGCATGTCTGTGACAACCTTTTCAGTGAGCCTTTTCTCCAAACTCAGAGTATGTAATGCATACTCTGACACCTCTCTGCCAGGATGGTAACGTTTAGAGGACAGGTCATTTTCTGCAGTCTGTAACAAAAACCTTTGCATTGATATGCATTTATTTTTGCTCCTTATGAAGCATATATATCTTGGATAAATGTGCTTTTAGTGTTCCAGCATAAAATGGTTAGCACAGATTGGCAGGGCTTACTGCAGAATGAACACATTCTCTCTCCTTTGCCAGTTCTGGATGTACCAAAGTGAAATACAACTGCTTTGTGCTGTGTTGCTTTTTTGGCTTGCCTGGCTGCACTGAGTGGGGGAAGCAGGGGGAAGAGGAACAGGGATCAGAAGTGTGGGGCAGGAGCCACAGTGTCCCCATTGTGCTGGGGCAGGGACAGGGGGGTTTGCTGGGTGACCCTGTGGCCGTGGGGCAGCAGCTGTGCCTGCCAGGGACAGCGAGGGCACAGATGGAAGCCCAGGGAGGTGGTGGCAGCTCGGGCAGGTCCCTGGTGTGGCAGCACCTGTGGGGAGCTGGGCACTGCTCTCAGCTGCCCGAGGAACCAGGCAGCTCCTGGCTCTGGAGCTGCTCAGCCACATGAGGAGGCAGCTCTCATTAAATTGAATCAATTTCACGTTTTCAAATTGATCATAAGAGGTTTTGGGTTTGCACTATGGCAGCGGTTTAGAGGAGAATGTGAAGGATTGTGATTGCTGGGAGAGCAGGCAGTAAATTAGGGTGAGGTACTTTGCAGCTCTCTTTCACTGTGGATGCTGATTGCTGCACAGGTCATTCTCATCCTGTTATGAAATAACTACAGAAGGCAGGAGCATTCCCTGCACACACATGGGTACTTTGGTATGCAGACTATTCTCTAGGGCACATTTTTTCATTTGTCTGGTCACATGTTTTTATTGTATGGTGATGTGGGATGTGCACTTTTATTTTTTTTCGGAGACAACTGTGGAAGTGACAGCGATTCATTTACTTGTGCTAGAATGAACATCTGCTGCTGCCTTCCTTCCTCAAATAAAGCAGAGAAAGATTACTTACCTTCCTTTGGGTTGGCTGTCTAAACTTATAAGTTGTTTGAAATAAACCTTCTTTCACCTCAAAACAAATGTGCAGAGTAAAAGGAAGGACAATGTTTGGTGGAAGGGGTCTGTGTTCTGAGCACTAAAAAGTCCTTGAGCACTTGTGTGCTGAAAAAAAAAGAGTGAGAAGAACTACAGTTTTTCCAAAGCACATGTTTCTCTGGTATTCCTCATAAGCTTAAATTAGATATCAGTTGGTACTATATTTAGCAAATTTGCTTGGAGTCTCAAATGAATTTTTCCAGAGCAAGCTGTGCTCCTGGAAATGCCCATGCCTGCCTGTCAGTGGTATCTCCATCCCAGCCACATAACACCTCTTGGCTTTCACCAAGAATTCTCCTTTTGCTTTTGATAAAAGCTGATTACATGGCCTGGGTCTCTGTTCCTGCAGAATAAAGATACAATATTAATTCTGAAGGATGCTTTGAAGTATATGGCTCCACAGCTTGAGTGGGATGTGGATACTTGGATATTCTGAAATGTTGCCAAGATAGTGCAAAACAACGTTGCTGTCAGAAATTTTTTTGTGAACTCAGCATATATAGGAGGGCTTCTAGTGTAAGAGGGAAAATATTGTTGCTTTTAATTTGTGAATATTAATAAACTGAAGAAGAGATGTTCTAGTGTTTGGAATTTATGTTTTTGTAAGATTAGAGACATAATAAAGAGTTATGAAAAACCTCTTAATAGCTATTTTGCCAAGGCTGTAATGGTGGATGGTTTCTCTAATTCCTGTATTGTGATTCTTGGAAAATATTCTTTTATCTAGGTAACCAGCATTACCCCAGGTTCTGGTACTATATTAATGTTTTACTTTTAGGGTTTATGAATAATTACAAATATGAAGTTGTTGGTATTTCCTTGGACCTTAACAGCCTTTTGTGAATGAATTGTTGAACAAGACAGCATGAACCTTTTCTCCCCACTTTCTCCCCATTCTCCTGGCATAAGCATTGCTTTGCTAAATCAGTTTTGAGTCCTGTGCTAATTTCTTATTATATATGCAATACATATGAAATGATGGTGTCTCCATCTTATGCAAAGGAGAAAAGTTATACTTTCAGAAGTTTTGAGTGATGTGGGAACTTCCTTTGGAGAAACAGCATCATTCAAATTAACAGATTTCTCAAGAATCAGACCACTGCTGAATCTTGGGTTTCTTTGCAGTTCAGCACATTCATTTTCTGTAATTTCTTTGAATTTTGAAACAAATTCAAAGCAACCATTGGGTTACAGGCATGGCTGCCATCACAGCTGGAGTGATATAACAGCAACTCTGTTTTTATTTTGTAGCTGATGCTTTTTTCAAAGCTGCAGTGAGCCTTGTTCCTGAAGTGCCAAAAACGATCAGTGTAGATGGAAAGATGCGACCTTCTGATGCCTTCCTCCTGGAATTCCTGTGTAATTTCTTTTCCACATTATTAGTTGTTCCGGTAAGTTGAGTCTGTATGAATGGCACACAGGTTAGTGTAGACTATTTTGACTTTCCTGTTTAAAAATTTAGAGCAGACTGGGCTTCTGGAGTGGGAAATGCAGGGATTAGTTTTCTGTGAAAGGGTGAACTGTTCTGCTCACTGACTGCAAAATCATTCACCCCAGTGCAAAATGGGGAGGCAGAACAACTGTGTGGAGTGGAGGCACAGCACTGCCACTCTCAGCAGCACCTCTCACTAGACGTGGATTTGGGGTAGAGTGAAATCTCACCATCATTTAATTGTGTAAACATCATGTACTGGTTTATTAGCTAAGTATTCAAAAATCTCTAATACATGAGGAGGGGAAAAATACAGAACTCTAGTTGCTATTATTTTCAGTTACTTTGGTATAGGTTGCCTAATCATTGGAGTGAAAACAATAATTAGAAGATGTGTTTTGGCATAACCTTCCTCTTCTGATGAATATTTCACAAAGTACTACACCCTTCCAGTTTTTAACTAGCTGTCAAATTTAGAGAGAGATGTAATTTTCTCTCCAATATTTTCAGTTATATCTTAAAGATGAGGGGAAATTGTATATTACCTGTATATTCATTTCTTGGAGAGGGTGGGTTTTTCCTCCTCACTGAAACCTCCCTTATGGTTTTCTCCTTCCTTTTTCCTTTGCTTGGTGAAGCAGCACTCAGTGTGGTGCTGTTCAGATCCTTGCTGTCAGAGCTGTGCATTCCCCCTGTTGCAGTGGCAGGGGTGTCCCCTGTTCAGAAAGGTGGAAGGGAAGGGGAAGCTGCCCTGGGATGTCACTGCTGTCACTGACTGCAGGGATCAGGCTGTGGAGTGACTGGGATCATGGGCAGGTGCCTGAAGGAGGGAGGGATACAACCTCTCAGATTCAGTCATGAAAAATAACTTGCAACAAGATGCCAGCACTCAGAATCTGGCTTCCCTAACTCTGTTCCCTATTTACAGAGGATCAAAAGGAAGTGTCCCCAGTGGACTGTGATTTGTCCTGTGTGTCTTGGTGCCACTGCTCCAACTGCCAGCTGAATTAGCTGGTGCAGTATTAAAGCTGATGGTAAAAACTCCCAGCTTTTGTGAAGCAAAGTCTTTCTTTTCATTTCATGTGAAAAGATTGTTGATTGTCTGTAACTGACTTCCCAGTGTAGGAGTTCTTCTGAAACTCATAATTATATGAGTAATACACTACAGCTTACTGATACGATTTTAATAACGAAATCTACCCAGTGTTTAATTTTAGAGGCTTAGCTGTTAAGAAGCTGACAATTAATTTTGTACTGCTCCCCCATGACTACAAAACAAAGCATTTCAAAGTTTGTCTGTGGAGGCTGTCTGGATCATGTTCTGCTTATGGGTCAAATGAGCATTTTAGATGGAAACTGGAAAAAAAATTCAAAGGATTTGCAGGAAGCACACTTAAGAAAAGTAGCTGTCAGCTTTAATTATATTGTAGTTGTGCTTTTATGGAGCTCAAACTGTGACTCTACACCACTGAATGGCTGAAAATAATCCTATTTTTGTTCCAGAGATGTGGTGTTGGTTTTGATCTATCTTTTTTCTTCTCTGTAGGACCACCCAGAGCAAGGAGTGTTGTTCCTTGTGCGAGGATTACTGAATGTGATCCAGGATTACACCTGGGAGGATAACAGTGATGACAAAGTCAGGATTTATACTAATGTTTTGCATCTGCTGTCTGCAATGACTCAAGAAGCATTTATCTACCATGTAGATAAAGGTAATACCTAAGGGGGGCTCTGGCTCCTTGCATTCCACCAGGACATTTGTAGTATTGTCTTATCACCACAGCCAGTTAATGAAGACCAGTGGTAATCAGGCTCACAGGATGGATTATTTTTCTATCCAGTTCCAGGTATTGTAACTTAGAATAATCCAGGAGCTGGCTTCTGAACAGGTGCAGTCTGCTCTTTAAAGTGAATCTGTGCAGAGTGGGTTACTTAGTTTGCTTCTGGTGGTGTTGGTGCAAATGCTTATAAACGTGAACTTTTCAAGTAAAGATTATGCATATGAAGGGTTTTATTTAAGTCTAAAGCATCAACTTGATTTATACTTATCGTTGGTGTTTCATCCACATTTATGAACAACTCCAGTTTTCAGAATGTAAAGCCTAGTCTTCATTATTTAAATTATGTATTTGCTGCTTTGAAGGCAGGCTTTGAGTTCTGGAAATTGCAGTAACTTACAAAAATATTCAGAATAGCTAGAAAATTCTAAAGATTCTACCTTTTGAAAAATAGCCGTCATCTTTTTTGTAATAATTTTTGGAATATTTTGATATATGCTCTAAAATTTCAATATTTGCCTTCTGATTATAGATTACTAAATTAAGGTAGAGTAATAAATAAAAATTCTTTAAAGCATCCTGAAGATTAATGAGTCAGAGAGGCCAAGATGGTTTGACTTTTTCTTTGTTGCACAGACTTTCACAGAGGGGAAGCCTGGAATGTGTTCTGCAGCTCTGGTGAACAGTCTGACAGATTTACCACCCATGACAAAACACCTCTTGCAGTTAGCAGCACAGAGAATAGCTGTCAGTGGAAGTGCTCCCCTGTAGTAAATCTGCTGTTCAAATTCTGTAAGGAAGTGTGCTTTAGCTTTTTCTTTCACTCCATTTTCTGTATAACCAAAATAGCTGTATAATCCCAAGATGAGAAATCTAAATTAATTAGATTTTAATGGAGAGAAGCATGGAAATATAAATTAGTAATTTTCCCCCTATTGCAGGGCAATGGGAGTTTTTTCTAGCTTCTTAAAATGAAGTTTACTTGGAAACAGGGAATTATCTTTCATCTATTGTGCTTTCTGATTTACCTAGAATATATTTAAACCAAAAAATTTCTTTTGTCCTTCTTCTTAATAGAACATAAATAAATCAGGGCAAAAGACATGTTTAAAATCACAATTATATAAGCTGTAAAAACTTGAAGAGCTCTCTCCCTCCTAAGAATCCTTTAAGGTCTTTGAAACTGAAAATACACTTTCTGAATTTCTATTCATCACTTTGAGGTAATCATGGGTTTAAGGAAAAAAATGCAGTTTCTTTTGAAAATCTGGTTATTTTCAGTAAATAAAACACAAATTGTTTGGCCTGGTGCTGCTGCCATTGTAGATGATGGCCATACTCTTCTAAAGTGATGGGAGCAGGGAGTCTGTGTCTGTGGGAAACCTGAAAATTGACATGATATGTTGCTTAATGTTGAGTCTAGGAGATATTTGTGAGCCTGGCTGCATCCAGGAATACAGGACTGGCTTTAAGCTGAAAGATTCTTCTCAGTGTTTTGCTCCTAAAATCAAAAGGGCATAATAGGCAACGAATGGTAGGCACTTAAAAAACAGTTCTGTTTGTGTTTCATGGAGGAGGGTCATTTTATGACTTCCAAATGTGGTCTTCTATCAATATATGATGTTTCCAATAGCAAATAAATGTACAGCTCTTTGGCCAGACCTAAGCTTGACTTCATCTCTGCAGTTGATTCCAATGATACTCTGTATGGTGGAGACTCCAAGTTCCTGGCTGAACTTAATAAACTGAGTGAGACAGTGGTGTCACAGATCCTGGATCACCTGAAAACCCTGGGAAAGGAGGAGGTATGTTCTTACTCAGCTTGAGTCAATGCAAAACCAAAAGTAATTAGGAGTTAAAGAAACAGACCACCTTTGACCAGGACTTGGTCTTGTCAAAAGCTTCAGGAACCTCGTAACAAAAGGAAATTGGGTATTTTTACTTGTTTAGAAAGTGAGACCATCACATAGGCAGACTTGTGGTGGACACCTAATGATGTCCAATTCTGTAATGAGCAAAGTGAGAATTCACAGTTAGTTTTATTACTGGGAAAATACAATGAAAGCCACCTATAATTATAAAAGTTTCAGATCCCAGGCACTAAGATGATGTCAGGAGAGAGGTACAGAGGAAGGAAATAATTGTTTTGTCTTTAGTATGACTTTAGTATATTTGTTCAATATAAAATAAAGAAAACTCTAGGCAGCTTATTGGATTTCTTGATTGGAATTCAGAGGCTCTGAGGGATCAAATCTAGCTTAATGGATTGTATGTGAAAGGCAGGTGACTGATGTTTGCTGAAATAATGAGAACTCACTGTTCTGTTAATGTACCTGTTTCTGAGAATGGACAGCTTCCCAGTCAGCCCTTACTGGATGGCTTCTATTGATAGAAATCCTGTGGCTGGTGGCCTGGAATGGGAGGGCAGGGCGTGATTGATTGGATGGAATTTTTTAGATGGGCTATTTGCACAGTAGCCCGGAGTGTTTGCCAATACAGAATGTGTTAAGTGATACATATTGGGAGGACACTGTGCTAAGTTTAGCCTTTTCTCTGCTTTTGCTATCCTGTTTGTCCTTCCTTGAGCAATGGCAGAGATACAAGATGAAAATACCCTTTGCTCAAATCCTCTGCATCATTGTGCACATCACCTCAGGGAACAGTAGTTCTTTTTCAGAAAAGTAGCAGCAGAAACAACCATTCTAGCACAGCTAAGAATGTCCAATGTTCCAGGTCTTGGAAAGAAATTTCAAGTTTTCAGGAATGTGGGTTGTATATTAGGGATTTTCTTTCATTTGACTCCTATATGGAATTTGTGGGTAGGAATGTTTATAGGTCTTGAAATCCATGGGGGTTTTTTTTGTTTGTTTTCTCCTTTCAAGCATGCTCTGAGTAGGGAGACCCTGTGTTAGTTCGCTGAAGCTGTTGTTGCACAGAAAACTGGATCTAAGGCTGAGCAGCACAGATACAGGTGCTTGGCCTGCCTTTGCCTCTGCAGCCGTGGCTTTGCTCCTCTGTCCATCCTTATTTACAAAGAGGGACATTTGTTTTGCTTTGTTGAGTGAAAGTCATTGAGAGATTTAGATAAAAATTGCTTTGTAAGAATGAATAGTTGTTTGAGGAAGCTGTTGCTGCTGAGGAAATAGAAGTGATGAGAATATTGTCAGAGATCTCTAATTGTGCTAAAGTAAAGCTGGTCATAAAATCACTGTGGTATTTGGATTGCTTCAGTGTTGGTGACCTTTTATTATTCATCTTCTTGGCTGCTCATTTAAATGAACAAGGCTCTAATGATTTTGTGTTTTTATTGGTTCATTTCCTTTAAAAGCTATAAAGGAAAATAAATTCTTCTCACAATAAAATCCTTTCACCAAAATGGCAACTTAGAAGAGAACAATGCATTTTATTGTTAACACAGTGTGGTCTTTTCACAGCATTAGAGAATGCTTCATTTGTGTGACAGTGCTGGAATGGAAATTTTTAGTTCTGGACAGTTCTGTAAAGTTCAAGCTGTTTGTGGTCAAGAGAACATGTAGCAGTGAATCCTGTCTGTTTTGTGGAGGAAAACTGCTCTTATGCTTCTTAAGGTCTCCCTCCTCAGCAATTTTAGGGGAAGTAGCTAAAAATATGGTGCAAATATGTTCATATCACCAGAGTTTCAGTGAAAGAATAGCAGGGAAATAAACATCTTTGGTTAAATAAATAAAGTAGAATAGACTGGGGGAAAAAAAAGCCTGAAGTTGCATTAATTTAGATTGATGACAGTGGTCTCTCTAAAAATGTACAGCTAAGGTGCTCTGAGTGCAAGGTTGGTTGGTGGGAGCGTGATTTCTATGCAGTGGAAGGGAGTCTGGAGTTGTAAATGTGCCAGACCTACAGACTGTGCTGTGCCAAAGTGCTGTGAGATGTAGGAGTCTTGAGTAATTATTTTATTTACAGCAGCTTATGTTGATTTACAACTAGTGCTTTGCTGCATTTTGGGTGGAATATGAAAACTCCGTGTTCTTATGTTTGTAACTATTGCTGTGTGTCACAAAAGGAGTGCCCTTTGAACTTCTGAAGGTTCAGAGAAACTGCTGAGGTTAAGCTGGGTATTTTGGGATGAGTGTACAGTAACATGGGAATATTTCTGTTTTCATCCTAGACCCTGAAGAGGCAGAGCCAGCTGGCACTCTATTTCTTCAACACCATCCTGGCTCATGGGGACCTACGAAACAACAGACTGAACCAGCTTTCAGTCAATCTCTGGAATCTTGCTCAGAAGCATGGCTTTGCTGACACCAAGACTATGGTAAGGCAGGGGGACAGATAATGAAGAGAGGTTTTAGTTCTTAATATCTTTTTCCACTCTTTATTTGGGAAAAGGTAGCATTTTCCTGATCTGAATAACCCTCATCTCTTCACAATCAAATTATCTAAAAACCCCAACAAGTTATTTTCCTAAATGCTTCTTAATGAACAAGCAGCTTCTCTTATTTCAAGTGGTCTGTATCTTTCTAGAATTTTAATAGTATGATATGACAAGCATTAAGGAACCTGGAAGTGTTGGTTGTTCTTAACTTTTTGTTCAGTACAGAAAACTAGCTTTAAGAGAAATATTGCATTTTTATTTTGTGGAGGAACTGCCTGGTGAAAGCTGGTAAAGTGGCATTTGAGAGCCTTTAAGAAACATATACATGATAATGAGTGTGATAAAACACCTTCACAAAGATGAACTGATGGCTATGAAACGAGACACTGAAAATCTCCAAATACCTTTCTTTTCAAATCTAGGTGAAAACCCTAGAATACATCAAGAGGAAGAGCAATCAGCCTGAAATGAGTCATTTCACAGACTTGGCCCTCCGGCTTCCTCTGCAGTCCAGGACCTGAGGAGTGCCTCTTCCAAGGAGCCACCTGCACAAGGGAGCACGGAACCAAGGCCAAAAGTCACTGATCTACACTCTCCCTGCAGGAGTGCAGTGTATTGTTACTTTCCTTAGAGAGGCACATTTACTTGGGCACAGCAAAGGTAAAACTGTTCTGAGTGCAATAATTTAACCTGAGTTTCTGTATCCAGTTTTACCATAGCATTGTTATTTTAAATGCTGATTTACATTCAGTAAACAGTTATCTTGAACCTCATGGTTGCAAAAGCCTTTTGAGATCTGTTGTAATTTTAACAAAAAAGGAAGATAATCTGTACAAATGAGTTCACAGCCTTAAAACTTCATCCCTCTTGCAGAATAGTCATTCTCCTCTGCAGAAAGCAGCATTTCAGTGTAACAGACTTAAGTTATCTGTCTGCTTTGGGATGCTGCCAGCATTTGCCTGGCTGGTTCCAGTAGCAAAGAAAAATGGCTGAGGTGTTGCTGTTTTAATTTCTACAATACATTTACACAGACATGTTTATGTTTTCATTTTAGTCCAGTGGTGTTTTGTAAAATAGAAGGAATCTTTAAGTGTTACAAAGGAAAATGGAAATTATGCAAAGTCCTCTATATTTGCAAAGTACCTATCACTGAATAAAACAATTTGCAGTTCATCTGTGTGTTCTGGGGGAGTTTCTTTGTGTATACAAATCTATCACCTTACCCTTCTGGAATTTAGTTACATATACTGTTATTATTTCTAATAAAATTTCACTCTCAGCCCTTTTGCCCCATGGTAAGGAACCATGGTGAGATCTTCTATCTATTGCTACTTTTGTTTAGTGGTTTTTTTTTTTTTCCCTTGCCAGGCAAGTAGCTGAAGGCTCAAATTCAGCATTTTTCAAACCAGAAGAGAAAACAAAACCTTAACTGCCTGAATTTCAGTAAAACAAGAGCCAAAACCTGGAAGGGCTGGTGGAAGCTGGTGCTGAACACAGAGCAGTAGTGCAGAACAGCCTCATGTTGTGGTAGTGGTGGTTTAAATGAACTTTAAAGGAGAAGGTTTTCTCCAAGAAGTTTAGACCCTGCAGTAAGAGCATCTCCCTCTTCCCAGATACAGGAATGGACTCATGGCAACCCCTTCAGATGGAGTCTCAGCATAATTTTCACTTCCTCAGAACCAAGTGCTCTTTTGTTAAGCGTGTTTTCTGCTGCAGGCAGATGCTTTCAGGTAGAGCAGTCCATTGCAGAAAACTACAGTGGAAAGTGAAGTTGTCTTAAAAGATAAAAAAATGTAGTAGTTCTGTTGGTGCTACTCTCCAAAATGCTTATACTTCCATTTTTAGATAACAGCTGCTGATGGAAAATCCAACTGCCAGAGCATAGTTCAAATACAGAGGATGTTCAATGCTGTTATTACAAGTTAGATTTTTAAGAATTACTTTCTGAGTTAAAAGTCTGCCCTCATCAACTCTGAGGGCACACCACTAGTGTGTCTTCAAAGTAAAGCACCATCATTTTGTACCACTGAGTGTAAAAAATGTGAAGATTTTACAGAACAATAAAATCCTTTTGAATCACTTATGATATAGATAAAAGTAAGTTTATTAAATCAACATTTAAAAAAATACTGAATTTTAACTAATTGCAGGCATGGCACACATCTTCAGTCTCTGAAGGAGGCTGTCTCTTGCCTTGCAGAAGATGATAAATGTTTCAAAAACTTACTGTTTGGATGAAGTGAGGACCCAGCTCCACTGGTGAAAACAGGTGAAAACTTGTAATGCAAGTACTTCATAAACAAAATTTCTTCAGCATTTTGTTGTTTTATTTCAAGTAAAAAGATGTAGAAAGCAAAAAGAAATTTCATACTCTCTACTTCTGAGTTTTAATCTTCAAATTTTATAGATCTAGATGAATATTTGTCTATGTATATTTTTTTGTTGGCATTAGGCTGAAATCCAAGACCAATTCCTCTGTGTTGCTTCAAGTCCATTGCTTTATCAAACTCCATCTTCAGAGCCTGCTGTAACTTCTCTTCCCCTTCCTGGTTCAGAGCCATGTTTGGTTTGTTTGTAGTTGCTGAGGGATTTTGCATAGGCACAGAATCTTTTTTAAAACCACCCAACAGTCTAAAAAACTTCATTTGTTCTGCAGAACTTTTAAAAGTAGCTGTACTCCACTGTCCAAGCTCCGTATCCTGTGAGGCAAAACAAAGTTAACACTAAAATTAAGAAATACCAGGACCAAGGGAGACAATTTCTGGCTGTGTCCCATGAGAACAGAACACAGAAGGCTGACAGGGGGACAGAGATGGGAAGCTGTTATTCCATGGCCATACCTGTCCAGGGAAGTGGTAACAGACTGACCTGACTGTGCCTGAGTGCACCTTCACCAGCATTTCAGCCATGTCACCTGCAGCCAGGGCTTAATGCCCTTGGAGAATCTCCTTTCCCTCTGTCCTTAGGAGTCTTGGCTTTCTGCTCTCTCTTTACCCAGCTCCAAGAGCCAGACAGCATCTCTTATTCTAAGAAAACTGTCAGACTTAATCCTCTTTCACTGTCACTTTGTAGGGTTATCCTTCATTCTCCCACTGCCTAGTTAGGGAGCTGCTCTTTTCAGCAGTGTTTTGTTACTTGTGGACACTGTCCAATCTGGCTTCCAAGCTTTAGGTAATATTTGCATTCTCATCCCACTGATTACAACCAATATTGCAAGGGTGCACAACCAGAGGGCCTCCCCTATCCCACAGGACCAAGTCCAGCTCTCTTAAAGCCTCCCCTCCTCCCTTGCAGTTTGCTGTGTTCTTTGTATTCACTGTATCTGCATTTAATTGCACTCTCTGGACTACTTCACCCCTTCAGGATTTTTCTTCTGTCTGCAGATTCTGGCCCCTTTCTGAGGAGGCAATATCCAGCTAAAATGAGATTTCAGCTGTTTGTAGAAAACCCCAGATACACCATAGGATTTACAGAGTTCATGAACTTTTGGCTTACCTAAGAACAGGCTTCATTATTCAAGGGTGTATTTGACTCCTGAGCTATAGCTATGCAGTCACTTATAAATATTTTTGGCAGGATTTACCCAGAATTTTTTCTTTAAAACTGGGCAAGGTACTAAATGGCAGAATGTCTGATTATTAATTAAAAAGACTAAGCTGGCTATATCAAAGGAAAAAAATGTGAATTCAGTGTATGTTTATGTCAGCCTGAAATCTTTCCAACAGAACAGTTGCAGCTTGCATGAAACAGTCATTCTCCAGCAGCCAGCCAGCATGACACACAGCATGCTACACAACTGCAGGCAAGCCACAGCAGGGGTTTTTAAGGTAAAGAAATGCAAGGCTGGAGTATCATTCACTATCACAGGCCTCAGTACCTGGTGTGAAAGAAAGAAACCCATAATACTTCAGCCTTTTGACCTTGCAAGCTGCTGCACAAGTCCAGTCTGTGACACAGACACATGCACACATCCATAATACACACACAACACAAATAAATAAATGTAAGTCCTCCCTTTGCAATGGGAGACATCTGCACAGATACAAATATAATTATGGCTTGTCAAAACTCTGTTTTCAAGTGAGCTGTTGGCAGCCACTACACACAGCTTCTGCTGAAGCACTTCCAGCTCACTTTGTGGAGCTGATGAATTAGTTTTCACAGCTTCTATTCTTCTGCATACTACTAAACAGAGACAGATCAGTGCCAAAGAACTGAGATCTCCTGCCAAGGATGTAATTTTTCTCAATGACTCCAGAGACTATTAGACAGTTGCACTTCCAGAGCTATGCACGCTCCCTCCCACTACATTAGATCAACAGGAATTGTCTCTGGCATTTGTTTGAGGCATATTCCAGCTTTCTAGGCATTCTGGCAGTCCTGCAAAACAACAGAAGCCTGAATTACTAGCAAAGCTTTCTCTCCACCTCAATCTTCTCACCCCTGGCTAAACACTGCAGCAAACTTCCACGACCTTACTGTGAATCTGTCAGGAGCCAGGATGAGAAGGATGCAAAAGCAAAGAATCAGGAATCATCTTCCAAAGAGGTGGAGGGAGGATTCAGAAGCCATGAGAGATCTGACTCTAAACATTACACACGTGTCAACAGTTGCCACCCCCTTTACCTTTCCATGGGTGTCCCTGTTGCTGAATGTGTGCAAAGTCTTGCAGGTAAGAAATCAGATACGCTTCAGTGACTGCTGCATCCATAGCCCAAAAATTACTTGTGTTTCATAGTAAGCAGAAAATGCTTCTGTAGCAATTTTTGATGGCTCATTCTCCAGAGGAACCAGAGAAAATGTTGCTTTTGAGGACTGCCGATGGGAATTAGAGCACTGTGCAATGGCAAGGAGTTCAGACTCTTGGCACTGCACCAACTTGTTCTATAGCATGGCCTGAAATCTGCACTCAGAAGGAACACTGTTCTTCATGAGCCACATACAGAAAAGAGCACAGTGGTTTTTACAGGAACCTGCCCTGGGACACAGTATTTCCATCAGGTTGAGGTCTGAACTCATACATCACCTGTCCCACTTTGGAACTGAAAGCCTTGGTTTTGCCAGATTCTCTGTCAATTTCTTCTTGCAGGGCCTGCCGCCTCACCTGGTGTGCAGAAAATTACACATGCAGCGTAAGACTCTGTGTCCAGTGTGTTAATGACAGACAATTCATTCACAATGAAATAATAAGTGAAAAACAAAACAGTTATCTTCAGAATTTTGCAAGGATAATTAAAAGGTGCATGGGATCCTTTCACACACTCAACAGAACTGTAATTTTTCAGTGTATGTTAAATGAGTGGTTTGCTCTATCAAGTAAGTCTCATTTTCTAACTGCCAACATTGATGAGAGGCAAAAAAAATGTGTCTTCTTAGTAAGTTACTCAGTTCTGACACTGACTGTACATTTTGGACTTAACCCACACATAAAGCACATTTTAAGCAGAGCTTTATTTAGGGAAATCCAGGCATAGATAAGCAACAAAGCAGTTTTTTTTTTTCTATCAATTCCTATGCATATGTTAAATGCTGACTTGCTTTACATCCTACCCAGTTAGGACAAAGCATACCTTGTCTATGTTAATTTCATCACAGTTTCCTTTCTTTTCCTTCACAATAATTACACCATCTAGATGTTCCTGTAAAACAGGAAAAAGCTTTATGATTATTTTTATCCATTCTGATTAATTAGAATTTACACAGCTCTTACCACAAAAGTAATTAAAAAAGTAAGCAATCAGTAGTACTATTCAGGGGCAAGAAGAAATAATTTGTTCTAAGATGAAAATGCCAATTAAATCTGTGTATTCCTATGGAAAAACCTCACAGAGATTTTTTTTTCCTTTAATCAAGATAAATGATTTGTAGATTTACACATTAATAGGGACCTGCCAACAACACTGGCAGGCACAGTGATGTTTGCAGGCAGAGTAATTTCCAATTAAACCATTTTGTAAAAGCTTAAATTCATACTTGAAGAAAGGCACAGAGACAGTGAAAGTTTAAAAAAATAGAAATTGGAGGTAAAATAACTAAAGGTCTCTCTGAAACAGATGAACAAAAACTAATCAAGAGGCAGCTGCACTGTGCTCCTTGTGGATGATGGTCCCAGGAGCACAGGGAGAGGCAGGACTCACACAGGAACCGTCCCCTCAATGGCAGCCAGCAGCTGC